TATTGAAAAAATTGAAAACCTTGGCGTAATAAGGTTGGTTACATGCCATATTAAGTAAGTTTTGGGAAATTAAATTTTTAATTTGTTTTAAATCTGTCAAATATAATTAGAAACATTATTTAAATATAAATATTACGAAAAATAGCACATCTTTCGGATTAGAGGTAAAATAATTTGTATGTGGCTAGTAAAATCCTCGTTAACAAATGTTTTGAGCTAAAACAGTCACTTCACGACAAATTGTGGCTTGGATCCTTTTTACACCAAGGGCTTCAATTGTTAAAGAATTGTGTCACGCTCGTGGATGCAAATCAAGTGGTACCCCGTGTCTCTGGCAAGTGTTACTCTTCGCGCAAAGGGTTTATACCTAGATAAACGAATGCTTCGACTGAGGTCTGGGAACTCTATGGTATTTTGGAATTATAAAGAATTTGTGCTTTTATTTTAACAATATTGGTTATATTTAGATGTATTCTTATTAATTGAAATACAGATTTGTAGAAGTAATACTTTGACAGTTTTTATTAATATAATATATTCAATTTTTATCTGACCATACCGAAGTAGGGAATTTTGAAACTTTATAGTAATGTGAAATTTGAATTACAATATTACACGATATTACATAATTAGTACTTATTTTAGGTAGGTACTAAATTTGTACTTGGAGAAAGTAATATCGATTTTTATAAGAAAACTTGAAAAGTAAATTAATTTAGTTCCTATTTCTGATGTAAAACTTAAGTTTTGGTTTAAACCAAGAAAACAAATAAATTATAGTTTGTTCAACAAGGGTGGATATGATAGCAATATCACACAAAGACGAAGTTTGAGCACGACGTCGTATGCGGAGTACTCAATCGTCTGATTGTGATATGAACAATCCACTCGATATGGTCAGTATATTTTTTCTACGACCCACTAACGAAAATCTACAAATTTAAAAAATTATTTTAGGTTATTTAGACAAAATAACTAATTTTAAAATAATTTACGAAGTTGACTAATTTATAAAATAAAATTAACATGAAAAATTAATTAGTCCTCGGCCTAGATTCGATCCCGGGCTTTTCGCGTGGAAGGCAGATGCTCTGTCCTCATCTTCACCGAAACTTTCAGGACTTTAGTTTTAATATTCGTAATTAAATTAGTATCATGTAGTTTGATTAAAGTTTATTTTTTTTTAAATGTGGACACAATAAAAACAAAAATGCTATTATTTATCGAGTCTACACAAAATTTTTAATGTATATTTAATATCAATAACTAAAATATATATTGACAATTAGTTTAACAGAATTGTCACTTATTTAAAAAATTTTAAATAATAGGAGTTGGGTGACCAAAATATGAACTGTGATTTGTAGATTTAATTTTGTTAAAGTGTTCTTACTACCTAAAATGGATATGAAATATATTCGTAGTTGAACACAATAACATACTTTTTCGTTTTGTAGTATGTGCGTAGATTGGCTAATATCCATGCACAGATTACAAAACGAAAAAGTATGCTATTGCCTTCAATTGAACGAATATATTTCATATCCATTCTAGGTAGTGAGAACACTGCAAAAAAATAAATTCGCCAATCACCGTTCATATTTTGATCAACCGACTGCTATTATTTTTAAAATTTTAAATAAATGACAATTCTGTCAAACTAATTGTCAGTATATTTTTTAGTTATTGAGATTAAACATACAATAAAATAAGTTATTCTTTTGGAAAACGTTAGCATGGATGACTAAAGGGTATTGGGTTCATTAATTCTAAAAGTGTGGTACAAATGTTATTTTTTGTAGCCAATTCTTCAAAATTATTTTGAAATATCTTTTCAATATTGAATATTAATTCTACAAATTCATCATTTGACAGTTGCAGATTTCCAAATGTATCTGGATTGGCGTTATCATATGCCTTTAAAAAGCAATAAAAAGAAAAATCATCTAATTCAACGTGATCTTTGTTATATTTAAGACAGGTATCGCAGAGGAGTGGATCCGCAAGGCTTTTATTAAAAGGTAACCACACACATACCTGATAAAATTTTTCTGTATCAATTCGTCTTTACAATAATTTAGGGTGTTAATAATTTTATCATAAAATAAAATACAAGGTGTTCCATTTAAAAAACATACATTTTAATTTGCCAGGCAAAAACGTGACACCCTGTATATCCAAAGATATTTTTAAAATATGTAGGTATTTTTCAAATCCATATAACTTTTATTTAAAACTTTCTTGCGTGTCTACAACAAAATAATGAACAATAACGCACTAATGGGATACCCTGTATAAATTATATTTTTAACAATGAAAATTTCTTATAATGTGGTACTTATCGGTTTTGGGTCCTTGGGAAAACTAAAGAATGTTTTCTTGCAGGTATAACCCTTATTAAAACAGCTTTTGACTGCACAAACAGAATGATGTCTTTTTTTTCACTCATTCTACTCATAGCTAAAGAGTCACCAAAATAATAACAGTACCTTTAACTCAAACAAAATCAACGAAACTATAGGCTCCACGAAATTATACAATCAACGAAATTATAGGCTCCACGAAATTATACAATCGACGAAATTATACGCACGACTCAACACCTTACCTAAGTACGCTTCTGAACACCAAAACCGTCTTTTCCCTTCGAAGGCGGAGCTTAAGCGATGGCGACGAAATCGACGCCAAACCGTTGCCGCCAAGAGAGTGTTTTAGCTGTATTGTTAAGCTGTGTAATAACAATAACTAAAAGACCAGGTCATAGCTCGTCGGCATAAACTACAAAGGAATTAAATGAGAGATATATCCTTCTGGTTATTATTGCATGGATGACTACAAAGGAATTAAATGAGAGATATATCCTTCTGGTTATTATTTATTCTTGTGGTCCGATCATATTAACAACATAACATAGTCAGGCAAATGCTTTTTGTTCTTGTTTTATGGACTGTGATAAGAAATCAAGATACATTTTATAATAATTGATACCATAAGATGGATTTCATGTATCTCTTTTCAGAGATAATTTTTTTAATACTGTCACATGTTGTAAATCAATTATAAAATTTATATTTGAATTCTGATCATGATCCTTCAAGCCAAATTTTATCATGCAGTTAAATGATGGAATTTAAGTTATTCGTCAAAGCGTTAATGCTTCTTGGGTTTGAGCACGAAAAACTTTAATCAGACGGAAATTCTTTGGTTGTCTTATTGCCGAATTCGCTTGATACGAGCTTAAATTTCATTTTAAAGCGTTTAATGCTTCTTGAGTCTGAATATGGATAACTTCAATCTGGCGGAAGTCCTTTGGTTGTTTAAAGAGTTTGATTTTTGGGTTTTGGCTTCGATTTTGTCAGACATGTATCATTGAGGTTGGCAGGACTTCATTTTCTTGTTTTTCTTCATGATGAAATTTGCTAAACCTATAGGTTTTTCAAATTTTTAAACTTTTGTTGAAAAGACCATGATTAGTTTGCGAAGTTTAATTAGGAAATTGATCAACAGCGTGTGTTAGTATTACAAAATTATCTTTAAAAAAAGATTCATGAAAACCATCCGGTAGTATCAATTACAAAATTCAGCTTTAAAATCTACTCAAACATTTTAAAATTCCAGGCTTATTTATTCCATAAACTCAATTACTGTAGTGCCTTTCTTTAACATAAATGTACATTCCTCTTTTTTTTGTATTTAACTTGTAATTTTCAGTGTGATCTGTTTGTTATTATTGTACTTTTGTTATTTTGTATAATTTTAGAAATAATAATTATATTGAATTGAATTAAACTTTATGTTAATTATATTTTTTATGTTGGATTGATTTTAAGTCATTGTTATAATTGATGTCGTCATCACACTCGCATATATATGACGTCACGGGATTTTTTCAAAAAATTTCTTTTATTTTCAAAATACTGTATATTATGTAAATGACAATGATAGCAAGAGACAAAAAAATTTAGACGAACGACGCGACTCAGACATTATAACAACACATTTTTATCAATTTTATCAATAGAAATGATCACTACCAAAGGCACTGCTTTTTATAAGTACCTGGTTACTAAGAATGAAGTAGATTAATTAAAAGGTAATTTACTTTTATGATTCATGATATGACTTCTGATTGCATTTTATTTAAATTGTTTGATAAACAAGTTCGTTCATATAAATTCAATGTCTAGCAATTTCTAATATTTAGTTGGTTTTAATACACATCTTCTTTAATCCTTTCATTTTGGGACGACTTTACTGGTCCCAATTCTCTAGGAAGTTCAATCATGAACATCTTCAAATCATAAATTGTAAGATTTAAATTATGAAAATATACTAGTGAATATAGACAGATTCGAATTAGGGATTTTATTTTAGAGAATACCTTCCAACCCAATAATGGTAAAGATCTTTAGCAGTGGATGGATTTAGCACAAAAAGACAGAGTCAAACCTTCAGACATTAAAAAATTGGTGAGGTCATAATATAACGAATTAAGGTATTAACTTAATGTTCAATTGTCAAATTGCGTTGCAAACGATAAACGATAAACGATAAACGATAAACGATAAACGATAAACGATAAACGATAAACGATAAACGATAAACGATAAACGATAAACGATAAACGATAAACGATAAACGATAAACGATAAACGATAAACGATAAACGATAAACGATAAACGATAAATGATAAACGATAAACGATAAACGATAAACGATAAACGATAAACGATAAACGATAAACGATAAACGATAAACGATAAACTAAAAACGTAGAACGTAGAAAGTAGAATCTAGAACGTAGAACGTAGAATGTAGAATGTAGAACGTAGTTTTTTTTTGAGTTCTATAATATTCTGAGATATTCAGAGAGGTTCCTTCTTAACAGATCACCCTGTATTGGCATTGACATAAATTAGTCGATTTTTCAAGTATTTATTCAGATATTGAATAATCTATCATATCTTTTTTTTTAAATTATAATCAAATTATTGTTTAAATTAAAACAAACACCTTGCTACTGATATTATTATGAAAATATTTATTCAATTTGCAGTAGAGTAGTTAAAAGTGAATATGGAAGTGATAGACAAAGGTGATGCTTTTATATATTTCTGTTTATTGTTAAAATAAATCAAATTAATTCAACACTCATGAAAAAAATATTATCTATTTCAAAAAAAAAAAAAAAATATGGTAATAGTAAAAATAATATGCCAAATTCCGTTCTTTAATAGGTCCTCGAATTGGTAAACGACATGTTCAAGTATTCTTAATGTTTGCTCTTCTCTCCATTGCTTTTGGAATGAGAGTTCAACTTAACGTAGCAATGGTTGCGATGACGGAAAAAGATACATCTCCAAATCCAGATGTTCCGGTGAGTAGGTACTTCAATCTACTTTTTAATTGCATTAAAAATATCAGTCTACCAACTAAAAATTCTTCTAGAAGTTGTAATAACCTTAATATATAAACCAGCTTCCATGTTCATGATACCCTGGAAAGGAAGAAAATTTCTATAGCAGGATTTTAGGAAAATCATACCTTTATTCTTCTAAATGTTCGGGCGTGGTCAATGTATTTAACATAGGCATACACAACATTTTTTCAGTGACTTTTTAGCCGAAACTACAAAAAGGAGAAAAATGAAAAAAGAACCTGTCGATAATAGATATATACTACTGTTTAATAAAGGTATCTTTTAAAAATAATTTCCAAAATATGGTAATTTTTACGATGAAACAAAGATATTATTATACCAGTAATAAATACCCGATGACGAAAATAATTCTTTTAATAGGTTATATATTAAAGCAACTAATGCCACTCAAAAGATCTAAATTAATTACGTCAATTTCCTTCTCAGCTAGCACAAAAACATCCTATCTACGTTAACAAGCTGCAATTTTAGGCTCTTTAAGCTCGCATGCAATGTACTTTTAATGTAACCCTAATATCAATGCAACCGTCGAATGTCCGTAACGGCAAGACTTTTATAGCACATCTAATAGAGGTTACAAAGTGAAGTCCAGAAAACATCACACTAGCACTTTTATGGTACTTTCCCCGAAAGTTGCTCTGAAATAAATATTTTTACAAGTATAGTTATGTCTATCCTTTGATACACTATATGTAAAATAGTATATTGAGGATATAATAAAATTTGAATAAAACAAAATAAAAAATTGTATAAAGTATTATTAAAAAGCTTTTGAAATCAAGCACCAATATTATACAAATAGAAGAAGTAGATATTAATAATATAGATATATCACAAGGTAACACAATTACACATGTGTGATACCATAAGCTATAAAACACTGAAAAATTGGACAAAAGTAGATATAAAGGGTATATGAGGAATATCTCAAAGGTTCACTAAAATAGAAAACACTGAACGATTTTACGAAAGGTTCACTAGTAGCTAAAATGGTGAACGATTGTACAAAAGTAGTAAAAAATGTATTTATATAAGGTATATTTCAAAGGTCACTAGATTTTTATTAAGATGACAGTTGTACGATGCTAAAAAAAGATATTTACCTACAACTGGTACTAATTATAGTTTTAATATAAAAGTGAAAAATAACTTTGGAGATAATATATTTACTTGTTTAACTATTATTAAAGAAAATAATATGTATAAATTAATGTTTATTATTTGGTGTACGGCTTCAACATCTAAGGTCATTAGCCTAGTGTTTTCTATGTAGGTCATGGATTGTATTAGTAGTCTAATACTCCATAGTGCAGGAGTATTAGTACTCTAATACTCCTACACCCCTACAGACAGGCCTTGTTACTGTTTCCTTGCGCCACTTTAGGAACAGCACTGTTAATTAGAACCCAACAGTGAATGGTCGAGTGGGGAATATGTATAAAGAAAATGAAAAATATGCTCGTTTAAATCGTTGCACCTGTGTTTAGTTTACTTTTACTTACTTTGTTGTTTTAAATAAATAATGAAATTTATTTTGATTTTTACAAATTTGATGCTTAATAATAGATGCCCAACTTATACAGAACTTTTTAATAAAAAACAATGTTTTTTAGCACGATATTCTGCTATGACAGCAAAATAAATAATTTCAGATGTTATATATTCTTCTTTAACCAATTCTGTATTATTAACTTTAGCTTCTAAAATTCCTATTTTTACTAGAATTATAATCCAGCACAAAGGAAACCTTCAACACAATATTTTTAAAATGTATTTTTAGTGATTAAAATATTATTACACTAGGGCGACCATACTTACAGCATTTTGCTGCATTGTACAGCATATTAAAGTTTTTCCAGCATTTGGTATTGTGTAGCAAACGTACAGCAAAACGACATAGGTATATGTCCAGTGAAATGCTGTATTTATCCACCAAAACGCCACTACTGTCCAGCAATGGTAATACTTAATTTACTGAAACGTAACAAATTAACATGTTATTTATCTTTGGTGAAGTACATAAGCACATATATACTGCCGTCGTAGCAGGAAAGGTTATATCTGCACAATTAGCAGTTTTTTTATTTATGTGCATTTGTCTACATTTTATCTTTCTTGATACCGAAACGGAATGTCCTATTTGCATCACAAAGGTACTAAAATATTAAAAAAGTTACACAAAAAAAATTTAAAAGATAATACATACGTCTGCTAAAAATAGTTAAAAACTCGATTATTTCGAAACAACAAATTTTCAGATAGGACCTTTCCTGCTAGGACGTATAATGTGAGATACTTTGTGGTAGAGGCATAGATACTGTTCAATATTATGTTAAAGATATCAATATTTATAAGTATTGAGTAACAAAGTATCGAACAAGTTAAAGATTTTGTTAAAGATACCTAGTGTCAATAACGGGCAATTTACCTCATAATTAAATTACAAAAAGAACAGTGGTAACGTTTAATCATATCAAGGTTTGTTCCAAGTTCCACCACATGCGAAAACTAAAACATTTCAGTACAAATCATGCGCTGTATTCAATTTTTAGGTTGAGCGCATGATTTTTACCGTAAATGTTACGGTTTTTATGCATATTTTAACAAACCTTATTTTCCTAGGTGACCCTGACCACAAACACACTTAGCAATACAATACTTGCTTCTAAGTAGCGATACGGCGATAGTATTGGTAATTCAGTATCAATGCCTAAATATCGATACTTTCATTGTTTAATATCGTTACTTCTGTAGTATTGAGGCATCGATAAGATCCCTATTATCGTGTAAAATATAGGCAGCCATTTAATTGTATCTTCTCGTCTTTAATGATTTATTTTTTATTGTTGGAAACTGAAATATTGCATTCTAAAACAACAGACAATAAATTAGAAAATATGTTTTTATTTTATTGAAAAGAAGAAAAAAATTTATCAAACTTATTCAAACGTATAAATAGTTTACAAATTCTTTAAAATCTCAAATACATACAACAAGAAAAAATGACAAGTGACTTTTTTCTTTTGTTGACTTATGACAAACGAATGGCTACGTTCAAAAACAAGATGATGTTTACTGAATTTCTCGTGGATACTTTCATAGTAAATTACTATGATATCATAACAAGTAGGTTAAATACGTAAGTAACAAATAGAAGTTTTGCGAGGTTTTGTTTTCTCTCAATAACTTCTCATAAACGTTGCATAGTAATGTTATTACGTTCCCTTAAAACAACATCGCCAAAAGGCTTGGCTATGTTATGTGCTAGCTGGGCAAAAACTTTTTCCGAGAAAAATAGCTGGCTACGCCAATAACTGTTACTATTTAACGGATTTTAAATTTCAATCTAACATCTAAAATACTCATTATTATTTATCATTATTTTATCATTATTAAGTTATCTTTATTTTATCATAAAAATTAAGATACTAATTGAAGTATATTGTTTTTAATCGATTAAAAAGGAAAAAATTACAGGGTGCATCGGGTTTTTTAGCAGGACAGAATGAAGTTGTACTGATCAAAAAAACAAAATTTGCCGTATATTTCACAATGTAGGGTCCAGAAATTATGTTTTTCAGGTCCTTTCCTGATTTCTGATCGTCTATGTGCAGATCGGCTGAATCATCTGTTTCTGGGCTGCTAGATCCACTATTAGAGCCTTCAAGTGTTTTTCTAAGATTCTCCATACTGTCGTTTGGATCTCATCGCAGTCCGTCTGCACTATTCTGTGATATTTGTGAATCGTCGTTGAGGTCGCTTGGCGGCTGCTCTGGATGTGTGTCGGTAGCGGTCTCCATACTTTCGAGACCACTGTTTTAGGCCTATTTTGTTGGCCATCTAGTAGTATTCAACGATTCTGCGGTGACTTGTCTCTCCATTTTGGGTTGGTGTCTTTCACCAGATGTTAAAGTTCTTTCTCTAAACTTTTTTTAGGGTTAGGAGAGTAAATTGGAATTCTGGCAGTACTCACAGTTTTATATGGATGTGTGTGTTTCGCTTTTCGGACTGTAGATGGCGGCGTGCTTTTTCGACACAATCACATTAACTGTTAGCGGTTTTGAGGTAGTGGCGATAATATATGTTCCCCATACGCGGAGTAACATTCCGAGATTGTTTTTACACTTTATGTTTGCAAAAGTTTAAAAGTTAGGTTATGTTACTTCGAGAAACGAGATAGACGTAGGGCCTAGGTTCACTGTAACTGCAGAACGTATATTTGTTACGCAGTTGCTAACTAGAGGCAGCACTTGTCGGGTAATTTTATTTTGTCTCTTTTTGAGAAGACTTGTTCAGACTTCTCTCTTTCCTTAAGCGGCCTTAATACTGAATAAATAATAAACTAAAAAATCTCATGTTGATAATAGTTAACCTAAAAATTGGAAAAATATTAATATAAATAAATATATTAAATATAGTATCAAAAAACTTACGAATAGGTACATGATTTCAAACCTTTGATATATAAGTCCATTATAAATCACACTATTACTTATTTGTGTAAAATATAGAAAGGAAAAAGTGATAATTATGGTTTATTATTGTTTTATTCGAACCCAGAACCTTGGTTTTGCTCGAACTTGCCAAGAACAGTATAACAGTTGAATTTATTAAATTATTTTACTCACACAGACTGTATAAAATTCCTATACCGCAGCATTATGATTTTATACATTTTGATTGATATATTAATTTATATGTTTTAAGGTTTTCGATTGGAATAACAAAAGCGTTCTACTTTCATCATTTTATTGGGGATATCTATGGCTTCAAATATTAGCCGGTAACCTTGGTAGGGTGTACGGCACCAAATACTTCCTGCTAGTAGCAATGACCTTAAATTCAATCATTTGTTGTACAATTCCAATCATAGTCAAGACATGGGGTTCGTACGGATTGATGGCTATTAGGGTATTGCAAGGTTTGAGTCAAGGATTCTTCTATCCTTCAATTAATGATGTTCTGTCCAAGTGGAGTCCTTCTTCAGAGAGAGCTTCATTGGGAAATTTAGCGTTTTCCGGTAAGTTTTAAACAACTATTCTCATATTTAATAATAAAATAAAAATACGATTTGCTTCTCATTGATTCTATTTTTAATATTTTTCCATTGATGTCTCTTACAGATTATTCTTGATCATGCATCATGTCTTTATTCTTACCAAATATATGAACCAATCAATTTAAAATTTTTGTTGATCTGACTTTTAATTTTTTCGTATGAGATTTTTTTTATTCTCACAGTTTTCACTAAAATGGCTTAGTTTCTTTTGTAATAACGCCAAATCTTAATTATTGATATAAATAATAAAAAATATTTTTTTAATAGGTGCTTATTTTGGAACTATTTTTACTATGCCATTAGTTGCATTTATTTCGACGACATGGTACGGATGGCCTTTGTCGTTTTATATATATGGGTGTATGGGATTTTTGTGGACAATTGGTTTTTATTTTTTTGGAGCTAGTAGTCCAGCATCACATCGTTTCATATCTGTAGAAGAAAAAGAATATATTGAAAGTAATTTGGATACTGAAGGACAAAAAGTAAGTACCTAATATTGCACGTCTATTCTTTTAATAATAAGGTTTTTAAAATACCATTGAATAACTTTAGCCAAAGTTATTTACTGGATGGAAATTTGACTTCAATATTTTTTCTTTTTAGGCTAAAATACCATGGAAAAAAATGATTTGGAATGCTCCATTTTTCGCTGTATATTTTGCTCAAATTGGACAATTTTTTTCCGCTCTAGTGCTTTTATTAGAAACTCCAACCTATTTAAATAAAGTGATGAAATTCGATATAGAATCGGTGAGTAGAAAATACCGGGTGCGCCCTCCGTTATATATAAAATGTGTATACTGTGTGTGTCATAAAATTGAATCCATATGGGATTTTGTTAATAGTAAGATTGGAAAAAACCTCTATCACATCATAATTGGCAACTAAGACATTAATTTTCTGTCAAATTCGCATCAAAAAAAATACCTAACTTGACAGATAACTATTGCAGTAGCTAGCCAATTTTAATATGGGCTACGACTTTTTTTCTATTCGTAAAATTACAAAAAATTACTGTTGTCATAACTTTAAAATAAAATTAAAATCCAACTTGAAGAACTTTAGCGAGAGTTCCAATTTGTTTAATTTTTCTTTCGTTTTGAATTAACGTTATTACTCTTAATTTTAGAATGGCTTCCTGAGTGCCGTTCCATACATCGTTAGTATAATTGTAATGATAGTTTGTGGATACATAGGTGATTACCTTATAAATCACGATATATTACCCATTATTTGGTCAAGAAAACTTTTTACTACAATTGGTAAGTACTGCTGTGAAGAAATTAGTAAAATTTCCAACAATAATAATATTTGTCAATAAAATTAATTTGTATAAAATTTTGGTACACTCTGTAAAATAATAAATTATGAGACAAACTGTATAATCTAAGTTCACAGAACACTGTTGCTTGGCATTCTATATTATACTATTCACAGTTTATATCATAGAAATAATATAGAAAACCAATATAAACATAATATTTAAGCAGAAATTGAAACCTACTGTGCATAAAAACGCGTCTCTGCGCCTGACATCGCAAAATAGTGTGTCTAGAAGCTTGCGCAATATGCATGACTTGTCCCTGTAGTGTTGCCAAATATATTAAACATACCTAACAGAAAAGAATTTTAAATTAATTAATTTTTAAATTATATGATTTAAACAGTTTATATCTACGAAATATCGCCACAAAATAACTTATAAACATTTAAATAATCAACTAATAATATTTATGTGTAATTACATTCCCAAAAATATATACAAATACCGTATTAATGTCATTAATACCGTATTTTTAATGTTCAATAAGCGATTCACCTAAAAATTCAATATTGACCTGGCAATAGCACTAAAATCCGGTGTTTCAAGGCTATATGACGCTGTCCTTACAGGACCGTTTGTAGTTTATTATTTATGCCGCGTTTGAGAATCCACATCGGATGCATCTGAGATGTAGTAGTAAATCTTTGATCACGTGATTCAGTATACGTAAATGTAATGGGACAGATGTGTCCGATGTGGATAAAAAACGCTAGAGATGTAAAAAATGCATCCGATGTGGATTCTCAAACGCGGCATTAATTACATGATGAAAGTGGCATTTTATTTTTAGTTTTGTGTAGTGTTTAGTCAAATCCTAGGTACACTAAAAGACATTTTTACATTGGCTAATGAAAATGTAATCAATGTATTAGGCAGCTGTTATATTTATTACAAGATTTATGTCTGCAAATCTAAACCTACCTAAGAATTATAATTATGTAAATAGAGAGCTGTATATTTATATACAGGCTGCCCAGCGACGGGGAGACATTATCGATATCGGTTTTAAGGCATTTTAAAACATAAACCCGATCTCAACAATCTTAGGAACTCTTCTGTCACTCGATATTTTAATCGGTACTTCCTCTTCGCTTTTTGGCTGGCACAACAATTATTTACATTTCTTCATTCCTTCCCGCGTTCGAACCAGTAAGGTTTAAAGAAATTTAAAAAAAAAACCTACTTTAAAAATAAAGATGTTAATGATTTTCTTATGGATCCCATCTTCAGATCTTGACTTAATGTATATAAAACTGTTTCCTTTTCTAACAAAAAGAATCCTAGAAATCGGGCAACGTGGTAAAGAATTATCGCTCAACGTACTTAAAAAAATATTTCAACGAATTAAGAATATCCTACCATTTTGAAGTATGTTAAAAAAAATTGTTAATAAAGTGAAAAGTAGGGCATGAACATATATTATAAAGTATATAAAATGATAGATAAATCCAGTTTAGAAGGTATTATAAATAAACTGTGGAAATATCGAGAATCTCGATTTTGAATCGGAAAAATATTCTACGGAATTTAGTATGAAAGCTAATCAAAATGAAACACATGAACGACAAACTGTTATTGACAACTTTCTTCAAACGTTTTCTATTTTTCCGAAAACTAACTAGATAGTTTGAAAATCATTTCCTTCGTTAAAACGCCTCTTGTTCCGAAAAAGGTACACGCCTGTCAACATTCATCGTTCATTAAAAAAGTGGTAGATACAAAACGCTTCGTATTGTAAGGCCAAAATATATTTAGAAATCGAAATAGTCATATAAACAAAAAAATCATATGAGTGAGATAACTACCAAATTAATGATTTACAAGTTTATTCCTATTATTTATAAAATAGGTTTGCAATGTGCTGGTGTGGAATGTTATCATCGACTAAAAACTTTAAATCTTTGTATTAAATTGATCGAAAACTAACTATAAATTGGTTTAGGCTATATAGAATGTTTCTAAACTCAAACAAATAATGATTGAGAGTGAACCGTGTTGTCATATCTCAATTTTACCTTACTAGTTTTTAGCAGAATCAAAATAGAGTAAGTAGTAGAGTTGTAAGTTGTGGCAAATTATAGATAATATACAATCATAGTAAGCAGCAACTAATTTTTATTATGGAACCGAAAGACCCTTTTAAAAGGGTTCAAAATTAAAATAAAATATGTACCAAGTAAATGTAGTAGTATTTTTTAATTTTTTAATTTATATTGAAAATGGTAACATGAAAGGTTTTCTGTCTAACGACTCATAGTCTCGGCTGACAAAATGTAAAAAATATCGAACATAATATTCCTGGGCCCTATTTTGCACTCCCCAGATTAAATTTAGTTGTTGCAAATGATATTATCAAATAAGATGTCAAATCACAAGCAAAACCTCGTGACTACAGTACTAATGATTGCCTGTTTGGAAAAGTATCTTTGTTTGTAAATATTTATATGCATAGTTATATTTAAATGCGCGAGTGTAATGTTAAGTATAAACAAAATCCGCCCATTATGTATATTCGTTTAGTTACCGACCCTAGTAGATGGGCAATTTGTTATTGTTTTAAGTTTTACCGTAGGGAGAGAGAAAATCAATATTAGGATAAATGGTCCAGCTCCTTTCTGGTTACGTAGGTACCTAAAAAGTATTTTAGTTTTTGGTTAAGTAATTAATTATTGTAACAGTGATTTTCTTGTGATAGTACCTAATTTAGATTGTGGATTAAAGTTTTTGTATATAATTTCGCTGTTTAATAATAAACGTAGTCAAAACCGGAGCACGTGGTTTTTCTGGAAAGTATTTTTAAAATCACAAGCAAAATCTCATGACTACTGTACTAATGATTGCCGAAAATTAACTAATTCATATTTTATGCCATATCTTTCTTAATAAGGACTGTCAGAACCATATTTACCTTAACTTGAAATTTTTTTAATCGTTTTTTGTATAGAATCATCTCTAAAAATGTATGATTGAAATGTGTGAACTATTTGTTCGATCAATAAAAAACTTGCACCGGTCCTGTTCGCGCCAGCACCGTTATACGCATGAGCTCCGACACACTATTTTCTCCTTATGGTTTCATTTTTGATATATGGAATCGGCTTTCTATACTATTTCTATGGTTTATATAGAGCTTGATTTTTACTAAGAATGTTAAGTTGATATCGCTTTTCTGTTTTTATTTCTGACTTTTTTAAATTTCACTCCCCTAACTACCCCATTTTTATTAGGTACTGTGCCACGCAACTAAACAAATTGTTTGGATTTTGTATTTAATGCAAGAACAACAATACATTATACATTTAATATTTTTAGATAAAACCAGCTACTACTAGATAAAACCGTAGCTACGTGTTTTATTTTAAAAATTATTATTTTTTGTTCTATATAAATTAATTCAGCTGGTTTTTAAATTCTTTCTTTTAAAATAACAATCCTTTTTTCTTCCCGTGTTTTTAATCTCAAACACCACCTCATACAATATTTAAAATAGTTATTTCTATGAACACTACTAGGGTCCGATTACAATTAGAAGGATACAGCTACGTCATCATTTGGCAAAATAGTTAATTAATTTTTGACGCCTACTGGGGATTTAGTGAATTGTTAATATTATAGGAATCTAGAAAATATTGTATTATACCTACCTAACAATTTACTTATTGTTTATTTATAAATAGTTATAGATAATATGTATTTGAAATTCGAAGTAATGGTTATGACGTAGCCGTGTTCTTCTAATTGGAATTGGACCCTACTAGGTGTCACATCATTGTTTTTCTGTTTTATGTGTTATTTTTGAAAAGTGCACCATAAAAAAGCGGAAGTTTTTCTTTCCTTGTCTACTTCTCTGTCCTCCTGAAATGTCTTTTGACGCTTTCTTTAAAATTTACGCACTTGCTACAGTTGCGCCACCTCTACCCTCCATACTTTCATCCTTTCGTTGTTTCAAAAGCCTATAAATGGTTGCTTCTCCAACTCTGGTAATATTTGAATACTTATACTATACTCCTAACAGTACTATTGAAATATCCATGTACAAGAGCGTCATGTACATTAAACTTTTTTTATATACACGGATAAACTGCACTTTAATTAGATAGTATAATTAAACGTTTGTGCCAATTTTATTGCACATTTTCACTTGATTAATATCGCTTTTTATCGCCTAACTAACAATTCTGCTTGTTGCAATCACAGGACTATATAAACAGAAATGTAAATCTTAATTAAAATAATTTAAAATTTGCATAACACTTGCTGCCGATTAGAAATTTTAATCCTTTCTATAAAAGTTAAGGGATACTTAAATTGATATTTTCTACCTGTAGAAATTACATACTTACCTTATTTTTGTTGATTAAAATGACTAGAAAATTTAAGAATTGAAATAAATTGGTATTTTTTAAAATGCTATTTTAGAAATTCTACGTCACTGATTTATGATATTATATTGGGGTTTATCTTTTGCCATTATATATTTTTAAATAAACTATAATTATTTGCTTTTTTCAGGTAGTGTAATACCAGCTGCAGCTATACTGACATTAGGATTTTGTTCAGAAGATGCTATCACTCTATCTGTTGTAATGTTAGTTCTAGCTTCAGGAACTGCTACTGCATGTGGGGCAGGATCAAATATAAATCACATTGATTTATCGCCGAATTTCGCAGGAGTTCTTTTGGGAATCATTAATAGTAGTGGAACTTTAGTGTCTATTTTGGGACCGCTGGCTGTTCAGTTTATTGTGACAGACGAGGTAGGTACAAAATAAACCCTTACAAAATAATCTATATAGTAAAAATGTATTACTTATATATTCATAAATAAAACTAGGTTTATAAAGGACATGTGAATCTAAAGAAGCGAGTCTAATTATATCTAAATAATTTGACTGGAAAATATCAACAATTGATAATGGTACTTCAGAAGGATCTAGACTAGCTGTGCTTAACCTTTTTTCTTTCGGGCCACATAAATATGTTTGTTATGCTACACGGGCCACAATATTTTTCGGTGATAACTAGAGTTGCCTCCTTTTTGAAATGCAAATAAAGGACAATGGGTGACTATAGGGATCCGTTTTAAATATTTTCTAAAAAAAATGGCCTCATATTTTTTTAGTTGTTTTAATAATAATAAGGATAGGATTGTAGGTCAACCATTTCAATTACTAATAATCGTGTTTGGGGCTGCACAAAAAAGCTTGAAGAACGTCAAAAAAAGCTTGGAGGGCCACACAAAACAGCTTGGAGGGCCGCAGGTTGAGTATGGGTGATCTAGACAGAGTAGGAGACCAACAAAAACAAAGGCTCAAAGCATAAGAACTAGAAGGAAACATTGATATGTAGGATTCAGTAGGTTCGAAACGGTATTACGATTTACAGTAGAACAGAGTTTAAAATAAATACTAATGGTAAACGATATGGTCATTTCAAGTGCGTTTGTAAAAGGAAACACTACTTATTTGTGAGAATTCTCTAGAAGTAGATATAGGAGAATCGACAATAGTTCAACAAACAGCTAGATAACTTGGTTAGGTAATTTTAAAAATGTAATTGGTGATCTGGAAAAGCTAAAGATGGATATTATGTAGTGCATGTAGGACAATTCAGAATTGAAGGTTGCATTAGACATAACAATAACTAAAATTTATTTGCAAAAGAAAGAAGAACGTCTACTCATTCACAAATACTACTAATCTCAGATAGATTACTCATGGTGAGGAATGGCAGAGATGAAAAATTGTTTTAAAAGTGACATTTCCATTATGAAAGTACACATAGATCCTGAATAAATTGATGAGCGATGTCACTCTTAATAAATAACTAGATAATGAATGGAAATCTAAAGGCTAGATAGACAATACAGATGTCATAAGAAGGCTGATACAATTAAAATGGAGTAGAACACAAAATAAAGAAATGAAGATAGATAATAAGTCTATTCCCTTGCATCGAAAGTGTAGCACCAAATTACACAACTTCTGAAAATACCGTTCTATCCATATAATTTGTTTAAATGGAACGATATTTTTTCAGAAGTGGCGTCTACACTTTCGATACAAAGGAGAAGATCTATTATAAAACATTAAACTGAAAACCAAGGATAGGCAAATGTTCAAATGGTAGATTACCCAAGCGCTGGCGCTGGACAGCTTTCAACTAGCAGTACCTAATGGAAAATAAAATTAGTTGTAAAAAACGGGTGTTGTGAAACTACGAGAAAGTTTGACTAATCAGTATAGGATATTGATCTTACAGATTAGATAGCTGTAACTAGCAAATTAGTAATATAGATGCAAATAATGGACATAAATTGGAACTCTGGAGAGGTAAGTTATGTTATGTTGGTTACAGCGATCTAAACGAACTATTATGCCCCATTCTGTCGCTAATGCAAGCACATGCAGCTAATGCTGAGGAAATGTGGAAACACATTACTAGAGTAGGTAAAGCAGGTAAAGGAGGAATTTGTGTTACATTTCTATATAAGGAAAACAAAGTGGAAGTCAAAAGAGGTACAATACAAAATAATAAAATAGAAATGGTTATTCAAAAGATGTCAATGACGAAGGAGGATTTGGATATCTACAGAGAGCAAAAAAGGGCTATTAAAAGCTAGTCGGGGGGTGGGTTGGCTCAGTGGTTAGAGTCATGACTTTGAGATCGAAGGTCTCAGGTTTCGAATCCCACCGTTGGCAGGGATTTTTTCATTTAATTTAATTATTTAAAATTAATTCTGATGCCTTGGTAGGATTCCCCACTCGACCATTCACTGTTGGGTTCTAATTAACAGTGCTGTTCCTTAAGTGGCGCTGGAAACAGTAACAAAGCCTACACAGAACACGAGGCTAATGGCCGTAGTAGTCGACGCCGATGACACCAAATTAAAAAAAAAAAAAAAAAAAAAAAAAAAAAAGCTAGTCACGATAAATTAAATTTTTTGAGTAAACTAGGGAAGTTGAGATGAGAATGTGTAGGATGGCTAGTTTAGAGCGAAATTAATAGTCCATTCGAAAGTTAAAATGTTAAGAGCAATTGGCGAAGTTGTTTTATAGACAGGTTGAATAGAGGCAGATATTTATAAAGCAACAAATTAAAGAATAATAATAAGGCATGATGAAAAGGGGTACATACATACATACATACATACATACATACATACATACATACATACATACATACATACATACATACATACATACATACATACATACATACATACATACATATATACATACATACATACATACATACATCTATATAGAAGGAGCCTTTAATTCGGCTTCATACAATTCAATACTGGGATCTATGCACAGGCGTAACACACTGTATTACATAATCTCTTTAACACAACAATAGAGGTCTCAGTTAACAAGGGATGCCAGCAGGGAGGAGTTTTATTTCCTTTTACATAGGCCTTGATGGTTGATGACCTCTTATGGGAGTTAAAGAGAGAAAACTTATACACCCAAGCATTTGCAGACGACATAAGCATCGTAGTAAACCGTACATTTGGGTCGTCGAAAAATGGTGCCTAAAATGGGGATTGACCACAAACCCAATAAAAACCTCTGTTGATGCATTCACAAGAAAATGGAACCTTCAAGGAATATGTGGGGACAACATCTAAAAATGGAAAAAGAGGTTAAATATCTTGGAATCACTCTTGAAGCTTAGCTTGTGCAACCATATAGAAAAAACAACAGAAGAAGCTGTAATATGGGCCTGTAGACGGATGGTAGGGAACATATGAAGGCTAAAACCAAGTATGATGTACAGGCTTTATACTATGGTTGTAGTACCTGATATAACTTACTCATCAGTCATATAGTGGCAAAAGACTAAAAGCACAACAGCTAACAGAAAATTAGACAAGGTACAAAAACTAGAATGTCTATTAATAACAGGAGTATTTAGAACTACGCCCACTGTAGCAATGGAGCTACTGATAGGTCTTCCTCCATTACACCTTGTGGTAGATAAGGAGGCTATGGCGGTGGCATACAAGCTGTTTACTACTGGATATGGATGGGAACTTTCGAGAAAAGGACACCACACAATGATATTAGAGAAATTAAAACAAAATCCGGTATTAAGAATGCCATCGGATCGAACTCCTATTATTCATGACTTTAAGAAACCTTTCGATATTCAAATACCAGAAAGGGACAAAAGCCGAGAAAATAGGGAAAAACAAAACGAATTAATCTGGTATACAGATGGTTCGAAAATGAAAAACAGCACAGGAGCTGGGATTTACCATGTAAACTGAGAGAACCATTTGTCTACACCTGGGATCACTAACTACAGTCTTCCAGGCTGAAGTAACAGCAATAAATGCTTGCGCCAAAGTTATGCTAAATGACTGTTTTAGAGATAAGAGGTACTTTATCATGACAGACAGTCAGGCAGCCCTTAAAGCACTGAAAAGGGTAGAAGTACAATCTAAATTAACACTTAATTGCCAACAGTCTTTACAGATCCTGGCAGAACATAACAAGGTCAGGTCACCCTTGAATGGGCGCCGGGACATGAAAGAGTGTTTGGAAATAAGAAAACAGACCTCCTAGCAAAGAAGGGAGCGGAAAAATTCTAATTGGACCAAAACCCACATTAGTAAACTTTCATTTTGGCCATCACACTAAAATTTTTTCTCTTTTTGGAGATAGTTGTGGAGTCCAAAATAAAAATACGACCATGATATCAATGTTGACATATTGGTTAGGCTATAAAGCTCCTGTACATATTAAAAAATCTGATGTGTCCAACACATGACTTTCCTATCTAGGTATTACAGGCTTTTTCCGATTATTTTGTACAATCTATTGCAGCATCTCTATTAATGTTTAGAGGATAAACTAAATATATACATTGTCCACATACATCTACCGCGAAACATTTTTCTATAGATATTCATTGAAAATGAAAATACTGAAAAATTTAAATTTAGCACTTTTCCTACAATTTTTCCATTACGGTCCATTTTAAAAAAATCATGTATAAACAAATATTATAGAGATCGATACCGCAAACAACTTTTATTTCAACAATTTTCATAAAAATCAGAATTTTGCACATTTTGTCAAATTTTTCGAATACGGACCATTTCAGGAAATTTTTACATAAAACAAAAATTATAGATAATAATATTAGAAGTAACTTTTATTTGAACAATTTTTTTCTTCAAACATAAATAACAGATATATTCCATAAAATATAAAAACGGCCTCCCATAAAGTACCCCCCCAGATGTTCCGACTTTGTCCAAAATCAAATCATTTCACGTCAGGCCGAAATAAAACTTAAGTTTAAAATTTAATGTTTTTTTCTTTATCCATTTTTAGTTTTCTTCAAATTTCGAAATTTACACATTTTCTCAAATATCTCGAATACGGTCCATTTTAGAGAAATTATCTATAGGATAAAAATTATAGAGAATTATATTACAAACAACTTTTGTTTGAACAATTTTTATAAAAAAAAATATTTTTTTACATTTTGTCAAATTTCGCGAATACGGACCATTTTAGGAAAATTTTGTATATAACAAAAATTATAGATAATAAAATAAGAAATAACTTTCATTTGAAGAATTTTCTTCCCCAAACGTAAATAACAGATATATTCCATAAAATAGTAAAATGACCACCTATAAAGTACCCCCCCAGATGTTCCGACTCTGCCCAAAATCTAATCAGCTCATTAGACGTTGGAACAAAGCTTAAGTTTGAAATTTGGTGTTTTTCCGTGTATCGGTTTATGAGTTATGCGTTATACAGACACACACACACACAGACACACACACACAGACACACACACAGACATCATCGCGAAAATAGTCAAAACGGATTCAGGGGACCTCAAAACGTAAAAATCCGTCGAAAACTCGAGGTCGAAAAAAATCATGATTCCTATACTTTCCTTATATCTGTATACAGATAGGAAAGTAAAAAGTACAGCTAATGTCGGACACTCCTTTTTGCCATCGCATAGGTTATTTGGTTTAATAGAAAGAGAGCTTAAAAAGCCAACAATAATATTAAAGAGACAGAAGTACGAAAATATCATTAAAAAATATTCCAAGATTATGAAACTTGGTGAAGATTGGAGCATTTTTGACTGGAAGTCCGCGTGCAATGAGGTGATCAAAAAACCAGGTCAATTGCATTTTCAATTTAACCCTTCAAAAAGATTTATATTTGAAAGAGACTCTAACCATAGAGTTGTGGTAAGAGGAGAAACATTTTATACTTCGGATTTGGGAGTCGGTAAAAATATAACAAAGAAAGGGAAAAGTCTTTCTTTGTTAAAACCAAAAGTTACACAAATCCGTAACTGCTTAAAAGGGGACAAATCTACTATTAACAAATTAAATTAAAGGGATAGTTATGTAAAATAGCTGTTAGATCAGTATTACTTTTCAACTGGGAAAATTGGGAAGTGAACAAGATACGATTATTAAATATTCGTTCCTGAGATGTTTTGGTTGATGAGCGGAGTCACCAAAATTAAGAAAATTAGAAATAAATGTATTAGATGGTGTATGGTTACATAATGAGGAAAGAAGGGAGAAAGACCAAGGAACAATTAGTGGGATATTGCTCGCAGTAATATAAAACAGAACAGGTTAAATTGAAGAAGAAAAACATAACAAAGTGAATAGATCTTAATGATAATTATAAATAATTTAGTTTTCTCTTTTAGTATTATTAAAATGGAGTTTAGAATCATAACGCAGTTATCAGTTTTCAGAATAATTTACTTCTTACTAAATTACTTTTAAGTTACCGTATTTTATATCAATTTTTCTTTAATTTTAGACGGATAAAAATCAATGGAAAATAATTTTTATCATAACAGCTGCTGTGTATCTCGTGCCATGGGTACTGTTCTCATTTTTTGCTTCCGCTGAAGTTCAGGCTTATGATGCATCTACAGAGAGTACTGAGAAAAAGAAAGAAAGACTTAAAAAGCATTCTGTAATATCTGTTTTATCTCTATAAATATGATAATAAAAATATTTATTTATTATCAATGTTTTTTTACCAATTAAAATCTTGTTTCGTGATCCGTTGCCATGGCAACATAGTCTTTATAAATAAATCAGCATAATATGGCGAAAATCGAAGGTTCGAGCGTAAAAGAAAAAACAATCAATGTTTATATTAACTTCTTGATTTAATTTGAGACAACATTGCAAAGCAAAATAAATACTTTCAGCTACATAAAAACATTAAACAAAGAATAATATTTATCCTGAACTTGTTTTTTAAGTTTTTCTACAGTTTTTGATTTTGTTTTACTTATTTTTTTAATGACTTCCCAATGATTTTTTGTACTAATTTTATTATCATCGATTTTTTTAATGTAGAAAATAAATTTGAATTTTTATCGTAGCATGAGTTTTATTTCTTATTTTTTTTATAGTTTTTATACAATTCTTCATTATGGGGTTGTTTTTGAACTTTCTATGTTATTTTTTACATTATTAGTTACCCAAAGTGCCATTTTAACATTATTTCTTCGAAATTTACCTTTTTCTAAAACTATATTGAGTTTAAAATAGTAATATTATAAAATATTTTATACTAGAAACAAATTAACTAAGTATTTGTTAATTGCATTGTTTTCAAACAAAAAATATCTTATTTAGTGACTAGATTTTGGCCATTACTCTTAAATTTCTTATTATTTAACACCTACGTTACTATTTTTTTATATTTCAATAATTAAGCATCTTACACTCGATATTTTATACCAATATAATAGATCGTACAATAATTATTAATAAATAACAAATTTCCTCATTAATTTAATGACACAAGTCGATCTTAGACTTTGACGCTAATATTGTTACCTACCTGTCTGTTAACTGCTACCGAGAAAATAGTGCAAAATAGGTATTAAAGGATTATTCCTAATTTAATTGCACCCATATTATTCTTCTGCTAAATACTAAGTAAATCAGATTTGGTTTTTCCGGTGTCCATCTTCGATACCTGCAGAACTCTTGGTTTTACATGACTAAGAAAATATATTTAGTGTGTTTAAATATGTTGTTTAGAGACAGATGTTTTGATTTTGGTGGTACTATGGAAACCGGTGTGTTCTTTATTTTGTTTTTGTGCGCTTTTTGTGTACGAGTGACGGAAGAAAAGTTATTTATAAGTAAGTACAGGCATTAATACAATATTATAAACAGTACAATTAAATTGATATTGAGAAGATACAGGTTAATCGCAGTGACGTGTCCTATCTTAAATTAATAGTATATTGGAGAGAGGCAGTTTTATAATTAAAAAGTAAAAATAAAAATCTGTCCAACACATGACTTTCCTATCTAGTTATTACAGGCTTTTCCCGGTTATTTTGTACAACCTATTGCAGCACCTCCATAAATGTTTAGAGGATAAAATAAATATATACATTTTCCACATACATCTACCTCGAAACATTTTTCTATAGATATTCATGAAGAAACGAAAATACTGAACAATTTAAATTTCCTACAATTTTTTCATTACGGTGCATTTTAGAAAAATCATGTATAAACAAAAATTATAGAGATCGATATCGCAAACAACTTTTATTTCAAAAACTTTCATAAAAATCAAAATTTTGCACATTTTGTCAAATTTCTCGAATACGGACCATTTCAGGAAATTTTTACATAAAATAAAAATTATAGATAATAATATTACAAGTAACTTTTATTTGAACAATTTTTTTCTCCAAACATTAATAACAGATATATTCCATAAAATATAAAAGTGGCCTCCTATAAAGTACCCCCCCAGATGTTCCGACTATGTCCAAAATCTAATCATTTCACGTCAGGCCGAAATAAAACTTAAGTTTAAAATTTAATGTTTTTTTCTTTATCCGTTTTTGAGTTTTCTTCAAAATTCAAATATCTCGAATACGGTCCATTTTAGAGAAATTATGTATAGAATAAAAATTATAGAGAATTATATTACAAACAACTTTTAGTTGAACAATTTTTATAAAAAAATATTTTTTTTACATTTTGTCAAATTTCTCGAATACGGACCATTTTAGGAAAATTTTGTATAGAATAAAAATTATAGATAATTATATTAGAAGTAACTTGTATTTAAAGAATTTTCTTCTCCAAACGTTAATAACAGATATATTCTATAAAATATCAAAATGACCACCTATAAAGTACCCCCCCAGATGTTCCGACTCTGCCCAAAATCTAATCAATTCATAAGACGCTAGAATAAAGCTTAAGTTTAAAATTTGGTGTTTTTCTGTGTATCGGTTCATGAGTTATGCGACATAGAGACACACACACACACAGACATCATCGCGAAAATAGTCAAAAGGGATTCAGGGGACCTCAAAACGTAAAAATCCGTCGAAAACTCGAGGTCGAAAAAAATCATGATTCCTATACTTTCCTTATATTTGTATACAGATAGGAAAGTAAAAAGTTCTAAACGAAAGTATTTTAATAAGTTTAATTTAAATAAAAACGGCTTTGCTTTTTTGTTATTAAAATGTTTACAGTGTGAATAATACTTTGATCTCCATAAACATGTGAAAATAATGAATAAATCATAACAACGCAGCGATATAGGGGTCAAAATTTATTTATGGGCCAATTCCGAAAAATAAAAGTTAAAAAATAAAAGTATTTTAAAAAACCTAAATTTTTTTAGTTGGTACAAGTTTTTAAGCAACATAACCTCCTTCTTTAACGCCGGTCACATAATAAATATATTTATATTTAGCAATTAATGAGAAATTTGAAGAATATTAAAAATAATGAAAATTTGATAGGTTTTTTTGATTAAGAAATTAACTGAATTGGGAATGTAAAATATTTTTTGTAAAAAGTAATTGCCTGTAAGTTCTTTCTTACATTTTTCGGAACCTTAAAGGCTTTTTAACTGTTCAATGTAAGAAAATATGTGTGTGACCGATGTTACAAATTTACGGACTTATTATTAGAGGCCTTGGAGGATACGGGACCGACTTTAAATCTGTTCAAAAGCTATCTTAAGAACAGATGCCAGAAAGTAAAAGTTAAAAGTGAACCCACATTATTTTCAATCTATGTAAATAGCATATACATACAACAGACCTCAGGAAAAATAATGTGATTTTCAATTTTTCTAAACAGGCCAATGAAATGAATGAAATTCGCAACTAACAATCTATGAAAGTAATATTGTTACATAGACAATTGTCTTCATTTAAGTAACCAGACAAATCTCGGCGACTGAGAGGCTAGTTGTCCTCAGATACAGTGGCGCCTGTGACCAAAATAAGTCAAAAATCGTAAATTAATGATACTAATAATAGCTTTGTTCGCCAGGCCTGTCGTCAACAAGTCTATGGCAGACGAGCATGCGCATTTTGATTTCGGGCGATCGTAGAGCCGAAAATCAGTCAGTCTTTACCACATTCAAAATGGTTCTATTTTTTTTCTAATTCGCTTACTCTTTGTGACACTACAGTGTTATGTACCCCCACCTTCTTTTATTTTAAGTGAAAACAATTAAATAATAAATCATTAATAGTACTCACCTAATGTATCTGTTAGTCCATTTAGAAACAGCGGCACCATTGGCTAAACATATCACATACTAAATACATTGTTAAAAATATTATTAACAATAAATAAACCGAACTTTACATCAAAAAACTGATATTATCGCACGTGCACTACCGAAGGTACGCGACGAACTGATTCATATTTAATACATTTTAAAATATAAAAACCCTTACATAGTGATATTTATGATTCACCAACGGTGGCTCATTTTGAACGATACTGAAAATATGTATTTTGAAACTGATAACAGGTTTTTAAAAAACTATTTTTATTAATTAAAATATACACGTCTTTTATTGACGAAAGCTAGACAAAATTTACTTATTACTACATAGAAATTAACACAAAAAGATTAAAAGTACAATCTAAGCATTAAAATGAATATAATAAGAATAAATATAATATGTTTAAATATGTGTAAATGTTCATTTTTGCCATAAGAAAGGAGGCGAGCAATAAAACTGTCAATTTTGTCCTACAGCTAGAGACAAAGCTGTCACTTTGCTGTCAACGGAAAACGTCAACTTTGCGATTTGCTTTTAAAACGCAAAAGCCTACTTTGGATAGTGATCGTAAAAAATAATTTGTTTATCATCTAGTAACCAACTAAAAACACAACAAACAATATTTGAATGTACTTTTAACTATCTGGTCTCTCTTTAGATGGTAGTTCTATTATATTTTGTTTTCCAGAATATTCAAACGTATGCGTACCCCCAAAAGGAGACATTTGCGTGGCAATAAGACAATGCCCTTACTTCAACGATCTACTCGATAACAGTCCCATCCCACGCCCGAGGAACGTCATCACAATCATCAGAGATCACCAATGCGGTTTTCGACGCAACATGCCCTTCGTCTGTTGCAATCGACCAACGACTGCAGCACCAGAGACTACCACAGAAATCACAACTCAACCTCCTGTTAATAATAATTTAAACAGATACCCTGATCCACCTGTTACAATTGATAGATTTTCTGATCCATTGCCACATCATCGAAACTATCATTTGCTGCCGCAGGATATTTGTGGCGCTATAAAGACGGATTTTAGAATTACTAATGGAGATAAAGCGTCGCTGAATGAGTATCCATGGATGGCGTTGCTTTTTTACAAAAGTTCAGGTAAATATTTTTTTACAAATTTTGTAACTAAACGATGTCTAAATGATTTAGGTTCTTTTCCACCGCTAGTCGTTAAGAAATAAGTCAAGCTTAAACTGACATATATCTATTAAAATAATTTCGTGTTTCCCGCCGTCACTGAGGTATATAATTATTGGTTAATCCCTTAGGGTTTGCTCGTTTACATTTTATGATGTACTTATTGTATTTTTTGGGGTTATCATACTAAAATCTAGTAAAAATTCAGATATAAGGCAACAATGTTTACTTTTTTTCTGCTTTGAACAATCCTGTATATAGACCTTTGCCATAAAAACTATGCTATCATGCATCACCAGGATTTATGACAAGTGACAGATTATATCCTGAAAACGTCAGCGCAGTAAAAGGGGCGTTTGATTTGAAACTCGATCGAGCGAGCATCGAGGAGACCGAGAAGTGATGACGTCACAATAGAGCATTGAATCAAATCAAAGGGGCGTTTGATTTGAAACTCGATCGAGCGAGCGTCGAGGAGACCGAGAAGTGATGACGTTACAATAGAGCATTGAATCAAATCAAATAAAACAGAGTAAAAAACATAACCTCGCATTTCTGTGATTCTTGTTTCTATTTTGTATGTTAAAATAGTGAGCAAAAGGTAAAGAAAATGGAAAAACTTTTAATAATTAGGGGTAATGGCCCTGAAATGCAGCATTTGCCACAAATGCCCGCTTCGCTCTCATACTCCATGACTGTGATTACTGGTGATTAGATCTGGACAGAAAAAATGTTTTTTCCAAACACACATTTTGTGTTTTTTTATAATGAATAATTTTAGCTATAAGACAAAAGCGGCTAAGTAATTTGTTGGCTTTTTGTCTGGTCTTTAATTTTGAGATTCAAATTTGTTTGTAAGTTAATTAAAAAGAGATAGGTAGAGACAAAGACAAATTTCTCCCTCTTCTCGATCTTTCTGCTCTGAGAACACCGAGCTCGCTCTATGTTCTCGCTCCAAAGCGAAACAAACACTTTAGGGATCTCTCGGAGTGTCAATTCAAACACTTTTGAAGCGCTCGGAGATCTCCGATGATCAAATCAAACGCACCACAAATAAAACAGAGTAAAAAACATAACCTCGCTTTTTTGTGATTATTGTGTGTCAAAATAGTGAGCAAAAAGTAAAGAAAATGGAAAAACTTTTAATAATAAGGGGTAATGGCCCTGAAATGCAGCATATACCATAAATGCCCGCTTCGCTCTCATACTCCATGACTGTGATTAGTTGTGATTAGATCTGGATAGATAAAATGTATTTTCCAAACATACATTTTGCGTTTTTTATGACGAATAATTTTAGCTATAAGACAAAAGCGGCTAAGTAATTTGTTGACTTCTTGTCTGGTCTTTAATTTTGAGATTCAAATTTGTTAATTAAAAAGAGATAGGTAGAGACAAAGACAAATTTCTCCCTCTTCTCGATCCTTCTGCTCTGAGAACATCGAGCTCGCTCTATGTTCTCGCTCCAAAGCAAAACAAACACATTAGGGATCTCTCGGAGTGTCAATTCAAACACGTTTGCAGCGTCTTTTTCGCGTCTTTTTCCCGCCCAGGAAGTGTCATTATTGCTAGAATACTTATAATGGGGTACAACTGAACGAATATATTTCATATCCATTCTAGGTGTTGAGAACGCTGCAAAAAATACAATTCACCAATCGTAGTTCATATTTTGGAGACCCAACTATTATTTTTAAAATTTGAAATAAGTGACAATCCTGTCAAACTAATTGTCAGTATATTTTTAGTTATTGAGGTTTAATACACATTAAAATTAGTTATTTTTGTGTATAATCGATAAATAATTGTAAATAAAAGCACTCAGATGATCAAGCACTCCGCCTACGGCGTCGTACCCTCTTGTTGCACAAAGTACTATTTTAATAACTCCATAATTCAAACGTTAATTATGTTAGGAGTTGGGACTCGGGCAAATGGTTACAATATGGCTCACGATGAAGTTCAAAATATTTTTTTCTTAAAATTTACGCCGTACCCCCACCATCATTTTCTTTTGCAAACGCGCCATTGTTCTGCTAAAATTCTGAATCAAAATAACAAATTTGGACAAAAAGGAAACAGAAAACAAAAATAGTTCACGACAATTGCCTTCATTTTATTAGATAGTTTCTAGGGACAGTGTAAAAACTAAGCTAAACTAGATTGTAGATTAATTTATATGAAAATAAACAAAGTACACTTTTACGTCGTTGTCGCACTGGAATTACAGTTAAAGTGGTTCAAATAACGCTATATTTCACAATTGTGTCGTTGTTCCATCGGACACTAACACAGACTCGATAACTTTAGACAGAACTGAATCATGCGGCGATGTTCTTCTGCAATTATGCCACAAACAACTGATATTTCGACAACGACGTAACTTGCTCTAGCGGTCATTAAAGCAACTACAGTTACGTCGTTGTTCTCCCATATGTTACGTATTTTTGAGAACAGTGCAGTACTTAACTACATAATTACCCTAATTTTGCAGTTACGTCTTCTTGTTCTGGAACAGTGATATAATTTTCTATTATACACTTACGGTGTAGAGCTATGATAGCATTTTGGTTTGCTTTGAATTGAATTTCTTTAATAAATTGGTTATTTTTTATATTTCATATTTTTCTGCACTTCTATTCCAGATTTACATATATTTGTAAAGTTTTGTTTTCAATACTTTTTATCTGAACTTATCCATCTTATTAACCATATTTTGTCTAATTTTTAGTACCTAATAATAATTAATATAGATACACTATCTTATTTCACGTACTTTTGTAGTTTTAGATGTATTATCTAATGCCTAAATAATATTAATAGAAAATGGATATAAATTTATTAAGTCAGTGTATGTAAACACCTACTTATAATGTTTACAGTCATTATTCATGAACAAATTAAGCGTTAAGTGTTTTAAGATTGGACTAACGTGGCTACTAAAAGCAAACACAGAAATAATTTGGATTCTAGCTTTACTTCCTTATTTAACCTATCTTAAATTTAATTAAAAGTACTTGCAAATCATACCAACTGGGAAATTTTTTCTAGATAAATTTAAATCTTTTAATTTGATGTAGTTTGTCTTTCTTGGTGGTTAGGAATCGTAACTCATTACCTCTTGACTTTTTATTGTAAAATATAATTTGCTTTCTTTTAATTTATTTTCTTTTTTTATATTTTAGATGGAGTAGTTGATTTTAGATGTGGAGGTACACTCATAAATGAGAGATACGTATTAACAGCAGCACATTGTGTATTAAATCAACCAATGTAAGTTTTTATTAATAAATAATACATTATTTAATTTCTCATCTCATGAATAAACACGAAATATGGTGGAGATATGCTACCTTTCGGAGCAAAATAAAATAGTTGATAAAAAAGACGTACTCTTTTTTGTTGGACTAAATTTAGCCTTAGATATGTTAAGATGCGTATACACATGCAAACCGAAAGATTCGCGAATGGTTTGACATATTTATACGCACCTTCATTCAACCAACAAAATTCATTTATCATTAACAATAATAGAATCGATTATTTCAGAAACAATTTAAGTTACTTTTTGTCCACATTTATCGCAGAAAAAACTCCCTGGCGATCGTCGTAAGAGGCAACTTCGCAGATACAATATCGGAGCACACACAAACCGCTCTAAACATTGTTGACGGGTGGTGCGGAGAGGAGGAACTAACAGTAAACCCTCACAAAACCACAATAGTCAACTTTACAAAACGGAAAGTCACCAATAGGACTAAAGTCACCAGAACTAAAAGGAGTGAAGATTCTATTTATTCAAGAGGCCAAATACTTGGGATTCATTTTTGACCACAGGTTAACATGGAATCAACACTTGAAAAAAGTCACCCAAGAGAGCACAACATCCTTCAACTTATGTCAAAGGTTGTGTGGAACTGTTTGGAAGCCTTAACAGAGCTGGGTAGTCAAAACAGACTAACCCTAGCCTGGGTACCAAACCACAGAGGACATAAGGGCAATGAAGAGGCTGATTTACTAGCCCGAGAAGGAGCCTCAAATGCTCTTATTGGCCCAGAATCCTTCTGTGGTGTAACAAAAACAACTATTAGAACATGCACAAAGCAATGGATGTTTAAAAAATCTCAGAAGTGGTGGAAAAACTCTCCAGGACAGAGACAGACCATAGAGTTCTTAAACGGACCATCGCCTAAACTCACCCAGCATCTACTAAGCCTTAATAGGAAAAATACTAGAGTACTAGTAGGTCTATTAACAGGGCATTGTAGGCCTAACAAACATATGTATAATATCGGTCTGACAGTAGAGACCTTGTGCCGATTCTGTCAGGAAGACGAGGAATCAGCAGAACACGTATTATGCTACTGCGAAAGTCTAGCAAGACTGAGATTCCTTACACTTGGAGAAGAAAAACCAAGGGCAATTAGCTATACCGGAGAACTACTTCCCAGTCTACGGAGTCTACCACAAAAGACCTAATTAGATAAGGTACTCCAAACAACGATTCAAGGATATCCACAATAGATCTGAAAAGTTCGAGATGGGCTTATAGTCCTAATTAAATTTAATCTAAATGGGTTTCCTCGACTCTTAACTAGTGACTTAGGTTGTTTCTGAAATAAGCGGTTTAATTAAAATCTTTGGGTATATAATATTTGTATTTTTTATAGCTTTGGTGTACGTTTAGGAGAATACGACGTAGAAACTCAAACAGATTGTGAGTCAAATACTGGATATTGTGCTCCTCCAACGCAAGACTTTATGATAGAAAAGATTGTAATCCATCCTAGTTACAATGCAAAAATTTTTTCAAACGATATTGCAATTATTAAGCTCAAAGGAGAAGCAAACTTCCATTACGGTAAGAAATTTTTTACAAAAAACTATGATATAATAGATTCATTTAACTAATTCAATTTAAATTTGTTGAGTAATGATTCATTACTTACTTACTGATAACAATCCTATTATCCAAGGGAAAACTACAGAGTCAGTATTAGTGTGAGTATGAACAAATAATATCAGACACTGTCACTTCCCGCGACATAAAACCATTCACTGTAATACGCTGCCGACGGTTAATAAGATACGATTTAATCCACTTAAGGTAATTACCTATTACACCAATTTCAGATAGTGTCTTTAAAAGCAACTGCTGACACACACTATCAAATGACTTAAAGAGGTCAGTATTAATTGTGTCAACTTGGTAGATTAGTAGTTGTTGATCAACCTCTGTAGAAGCCATGCTGCTCGTCTGTTATGTAATTCTTAAACGTGTAGAATAATTCATCTGTTAGGATTGATTCCAACAGCTTAGGAATTGCTGATAGCATAGAAATGCCGTGATAATTTTTTATGTCAGATTTATCCACGAATTTAAAAATTGGGACCAAGTTAGAATATTTCCATTTGGACGGGACATATCCTCTGTCGAATGATCTCTGGAAAATTGTGCACAGAGGTGCAGATAAAGCAGGGCACTTCTTGAGAAGGATAGGTGGTATTCCATCTGGACCAGAACATATGGAAGGATCGATGTCCAACATTTTCTTCTTTGTTTCATCTTCTTTAAAGATATGAAATGACAGGTGGGAACAAAGGTGTCATTAAAATATTAAATGTCCAAAAATATTTCACAGTTTATACTCTCTCACGGTTTTTTATCACAAATAACCTCTAGATGAAGACTGGACAAGTTTTTTCTAGCCATCTGCGAACCGTTCTCAAAAATCAATTCCAAACACCCCTAAAAAAATTCAATCCAGATAGCCCGGGAGCAATTGAAAGGGGAGTCATCAGGATATCGAATTGGACTAACATATCAATGTGTATCTTTATTATATTTTTTTACAGATGGGCACTTCATTGCTTGGAGTATTATCCAGATATTAGAAGTGCTTGTATTTAGGTACTATTGATGTTTTTTTATGCTTTCTAAAAAGTTAACTGCTACTTTATCAGATTTCCGACGGTTGGTATATCTTGCTCAAACTGGCAGTAAATATAGTTTTTTTATACAACAAAAACCGACAGTTATGCCGTAGTAATACTTTGTATCAGTACCTAGCCTAAATATCTACCAACCCTACTTATTTTAAAACAACTACGGTATGGAACACTATTACAATTTGAACACGATTTGCAATTTTCCAATTTGTTTTAATATCTTTATAAAATTACTATCATTATTTGCAGAAAACGTGCAACCAATTTGCTTACCAGTGGAATCAGAATTGACGAGTCGCTCGGCTATCGTGTCTGGATGGGGAGTAACTGAAGATGGTATGTATACTGTGCACGTTTACTGTTGACACTATATTTTATATAGGTACCTACTTTATCCTAAAACATTTGTAGGTACCATATAAATAACAAACAGAGAATATTAATGACAATCTTATATTTGAAAAATACATATTTTTTTAGGTTACAAAAGTCAAGTATTACTAGAAGCTCGCTTACCAATTCTACCACTGTCTGACTGCCAAAAACTGTACAAAAGTTTTGCGTCGATTACGCGAAACCAAATCTGTGCGGGAGGCGTAAAGGGACGAGATACCTGTGGGGGAGACAGTGGGGGACCACTAAAAGATATAGGTGATGTGAATGGAAGTTCGAGGTATATCCAATATGGAATTGTTTCATTTGGACCGAGATTTTGCGGAGCAGATGGAAAGCCCGGTATATATACCAAAGTTTCGAGTTATATGAATTGGATTTTGGACCATTTGGAAGAATATTAAATCGGAATGATTTCGTTTTAAAATAATATTTTTGTGATTGATGGTACACAATTTATTGGGTGGTAAAAGGACGATTCGGGGTTAGGAAATACATTTTTTGTGTTCTTCTTTTGTATCTTTCAAAATAATCAAAATCTATAAGTAATTATATAATTTGTGTATTATGTAGTAGGTGCCACAGTGCTATTTGATCATCTCAAAGTGAAAATACAATTTTAAAAAATCGTCGGTTGAATAATACTATCCTAAGTCCCAGGGGCGACTCGTGGCCAAAATTTTGGGGGTTCACAGTAACAGAATATAGATATCAGTATAGATATATGAAAAAAAACTTTCGGTGTTTTAGAAAGTTTACAATATAGGTACCTATCTAAAACACTGACAGTTTTTTACCTATATTTGTACCGACATCTATATTCTGCTACTGAGAACCCCCAAAATGTTGGTCACGAGCCGCCCTTGCTAAGTACTTTTCCAGGAATTTTAAGTTACCCATACGATTTTCTTAGGACATTGCATACTATTGCACGAGCTAGAATTAAACGAGACTCAAGATATTATGTCAATAATAACAAAAAATGGAAGTAGGATAGTTTAAATGGACATAGGAAGGATTTTATCCAATATTCTGAAATTATTGTACTTATAAAGATTATATAAATAGAGATGATACAAAAACTATAGAATCATAATAATATTAAATATGTTTTTGATCATCTACTTTTATATGGTTTTATTTTGTTAAATATTACTTAAAAACAAATTATTATAGTTTCTTTTAGATTCTATAATTATTAACTTTTATGGATGATTCTACAAAAAAAAAATCAAATTTAAAGAATTATGGGAATGAAACATGTACCAGCAACAAACTTAGGCATATATCTTCTGTTATTTCACTACTTTCTGTATTTCTCGAGCTTGAAATCGAGCAGTATTTGTTTTTATTTCATATTCTTACGTTTTTCATTTTTTTGTAGGATCATCTCTGAAGACAATGAGTCCATACTTTTAACATGTAAATAAAGCAGTTATTGCATTGTATAAATACTTGTGTTGTATATACGTATTTACTAATTAGTTTTAATAAAATAGTTGATTTTTGAATACTCTTAGTTTCATTTTACTTTTCTATCATCCTATCCAGTATTTAATTTGTTAATGATTTAAATCAAAACCTCATTTACGATGGTGCCAATTGGCTTATAATCCGATTTTCGAATCTTTTGACTAAAGGGCGTATAAATTTATAACCTTATCTGTAACGTGTGGAGGGTGGGTTACTCCCACGGCACTTAGGTCTCACTAAGCTCATTGTGCATCCTCCTAAATTGATAAGATACCTCCTAGCTCGTAATCCAGCCTACAGATTTAATGTATCTCCCTGATAGCACAAAGTCGTCTTAAAGACGTCTTTAAGACATCTAGCATAAGACATTCGAGACGTCTTTAAGACGTCTGGTATTTCCTGAAAGACGCCTTTAAGACGTCTGATGTTACAAAAAGCGACGTCTTTAAGACGTCTTATTAATGGCTTATATTGGTCTGTAGAGCTTAAAATAAGCCATAAATAAGACGTATCATAAATGGCGTATAATGGTCTTGTGAAGATTTAAATAAGCCATAAAGAAGACGTCTTTAAGACGTCTCATAAATGGCTTATAATGGTCTTGTGAAGATTTAAATAAGCCATAAATAAGACGTTTTATTAATGGCTTATAAAGGTCTGGTTAAACTTAAATAAGCCATAAATCTTTTTAGTAAAAATAAAAATCGGTACAGGGTTCGGAGCCCACCCTATATGTGGTGAAAAATAAATTAAACTAAAAACTTAATAAAGAAAATCTTTTTAGTAAAAATAACAATCGGTACAGGGTTCAGAACACACCCTGTATGTAGTGAAAAATAAATTAAACTAAAAACTTAATACGGAAAATCTTTTTAATAAAAATAAAAATCGGTACAGGGTTCGGAGCACACCCTGTATGTGGTGAAGAATAAAATGAACTAAAAACTTAATAAAGAAAATCTTTTTAGTAAAAATAAAAATCGGTACAGGGTTCGGAGCACACCCTGTATGTGGTGAAAACTGAATTTCTCAATTCACAGGATTAAACTAACGGAAAACAATTACCTGAAGTAATTATTTTAAATAATTCGGTTATTTACTAAAGAAATCACAAAAATAAAAAAAAAACGGGTAGCTACGACGCTTCCTGTATTCGAAAACTGAATTTCTCAATTCGCAGAATTAAATTAAATAATGATTACGCGATAAAGAAAATAAAGCAAAACAAGCAAAACCATTCAAATAAATATAACGAGCATTTCGGCGAACCCCTGTATTCGAAGAATGAAAGCTAGCTAAAATTTGTGATAAATCCTTTGGATATTTTCGATCGCCGCGTTTAAAATTATAATTTCAGATCGGAGAATGAGACAGCCACGTGAAAACTGCTGGTGGAGCGGTTTACCCGGCAAATTTAAATGAGTCTGGGAGCGCCTCAGGCCCATTCAATTCGGAAAACTTGCCAGGGTTGATTTCGCGTTAAACTGTGACTTACAAACTTGTTCGGCGGATTGTTCGAGGATCCTAATTTTGGGGTATATTGGGGGATCCACAATAAATCCAAGAAATAGGACACTGGACAATGCAATCGCGCAAGAGCGACGGTGTCAAGACTGTCAAGTATCAAAGAGACGCAGACGGTGTCAGAAACAAAAAAGAGGCAAACTGTGTCAGACACAAAAGAGGCCCTCCGGTCATTGTCTATCAAATTTATAATATCGGTCTAGAGCCTCCCACTCCGGAGTAGGAGTAGGGGAAAGCCACTTACCAATGACGGGAAAAAAAAGTCCTTATCCACCTTGACAAAAATAAGTAGATAATTTTATGAGATTTGAGTCTACAAATGCCCACTCTGATTTCGAGAAATATTAAAGTATTTTAAACTACGAGGGCGCTCGCAATTGTTTAAAAAAAAGGGAAATTCTTGGGAAACGTAAATACGGGGGTGCTTCGAAATATACAGAGGCGGGAATTAGTTAGTAGGGAATTAAAATTTGTGACTTCGTCACAAGTTTCGTACCTTATTTATAGCTGAAAAAATGCAAAATATAATATTACGATTGTTTAGTCTCAAAGATATTTATTACATTACAAAAATAAAATGTTTTTTCATGGGCGAAAAATAACATAATATTAAGGTAAAATCAGATGCACAGCTTTAGAAATAATTTAAAACCACTCACCTCTATTTCAAGATGCACTCACAATTATAACTTTACTTCAAAGAAGTTTTTTTGTATATTATTTAAAATAAATAAACGTTTTCTTTTATATTTTTTGTTTCCTTCATTTAAAATCTCAAAATATCAAGATGTAGGCTACCAGTTTAACATTTTGGAAAAATATGTGTTGCCTAACCTAGTAGTAAAGCCATCAAAATGGCCGCGCCCTATGTTGGGAGTGTCGGACTTCACATACTTTGATTACTATACGAGGCAAGAGAGAGGTCCGACACGCCTAACATAGGGCGCGGCCATTTTGATGCCTTTACCACAGTTTATTGCTAAAGAATCAGTTCGCTCACTCTGCGTCGGCACTTTTGATCTCAATGTTCCAGTTTATATACTGCGCAACTCGGATAATACAATATATGACAACCGCCTATAATAAAACAGCAGTCTTCTGCGCATCCTGAATTTGTATCCCTGGAGTGGATGTTATTTTGGAACATTCAACTGGTCCGAAGTTTAAAATGATATTTTTACATTAACAATATCATTTTAATCTCCGTTTAACACAACGGTGGAATCGGCCCTAAGTATTATAACCGCGCTAGTTTTTTTATTTTGTTCGATTTGTACAACTTACTTAAAATAAATTCTTTTGAGTAAATTCAACAGAGGCGGCTTTGAACTATTCTATGGTTTATTTCGCCGTATTTGTAATATGTTAAAGGTTGTTTTTACCGTAGAAGTTACAAATTATTAGTTTGTTACTTAGTGCAGCTTTTTTTTGTTATAATTCAAACAGCATTGTCACATATTTTAAATCGTAATCGGTGTTTTCTAAGAGTAAAAGACTTTGCAATTAAATGTTATTTATCTAAAATTTTTAAATGCCAATACAAAGCAACAAAACTACGAAATAAGTTAATTAGAATGTAATACAGAGTGCTTTGTATGCATTTTATATAAACAAAAAGCAATTAAGTCTGTTCCTCAATAATACCAACTATCCATTGCAGATATCTATCAACTCTTGTATAAATAGGCGGTAAATCTTCCAAACCGCACGTCATTGTTGACGCAAACGAAACGATCCCTATTTGATAATTTCTTAATTCGTCATCAATATCAAACGTTGAATTTGATAATGGTCCTCCACTATCTCCTTTACAAGCGTCTTCTTTATTTTTCCCATTTGCACATAGTTGACTATAGATTATCGGTTGAACCTAAAAGTAAAGAAATAATAGGTACAGCAAAATAATACAGATCTGCAACCAAAAAACTGTATGTAATATTTATATATTTCATGTGTTTGCTCATAAGATAATGTATCTTTGACAATCTTTGAAAATCTTGGACGATCTTTGACAATCTTTGTCGATCTTTGACGATATTTGACAATCTTTGACACTCTTTGACAATCTTTAACAATCTTTGACAATCTTTGACGATATTTGACAATCTTTGATAATCTTTGACAATCTTTGACACTCTTTGACAATCTTTAACAATCTTTGACAATCTATGACAATCTTTAACGATCTTTGACAATATTTGATAATCTTTGACAATCTTTGACGATATTTGACAATCTTTGACAATCTTTGACACTCTTTGACAATCTTTAACAATCTTTGACGATCTTTAACGATATTTGACAATCTTTGATAATCTTTGACACTCTTTAACAATTTTTAACAATCTTTGACGATATTTGACAATCTTTGACAATCTTTAACAATCTTTAACAATCTTTGACAATCTTTGACAATCTTTGACAATCTTTGATAATCTTTGACAATCTTTGACAATCTTTGACAATCTTTGACGATCTTTGACGATATTTAACAATCTTTGATAATCTTTGACAATCTTTAACAATCTTTGACAATATTTGACGATCTTTGACGATCTTTGACGATATTTGACAATCTTTGATAATCTTTGATAATCTTTGACAATCTTTAACAATCTTTGATAATCTATGACAATCTTTAACGATCTTTGACAATCTTTGACAATCGTTGACAATCTTTGACAATCTTTGACAATCTTTGACAATCTTTGACAATCTTTGACGATATTTGACGATATTTGACAATCTTTGACACTCTTTGACAATCTTTAACAATCTTTAACAATCTTTGACGATCTTTAACGATATTTGACAATCTTTGACACTCTTTAACAATCTTTGACGATATTTGACAATCTTTGACACTCTTTGACAATCTTTGACAATATTTGACAATCTTTGACAATCTTTAACAATCTTCGACAATCTTTGACGATCTTTGACGATATTTGACAATATTTGACAATCTTTGACAATTTTTGACGATCTTTGACGATATTTGACAATCTTTAACAATCTTTGACGATCTTTGACGATATTTGACAATCTTTGACACTCTTTGACAATCTTTAACAATCTTTGACAATCTTTGACAATCTTTGACAATCTTTGACAATCTTTGACAATCTTTGACAATCTTTGACAATATTTGACAATCTTTGACAATCTTTGATAATCTTTGATAATCTTTGATAATCTTTGATAATCTTTGATAATCTTTGATAATCTTTGATAATCTTTGATAATCTTTGATAATCTTTGATAATCTTTGATAATCTTTGATAATCTTTGATAATCTTTGATAATCTTTGATAATCTTTGATAATCTTTGATAATCTTTGATAATCTTTGATAATCTTTGATAATCTTTGATAATCTTTGATAATCTTTGATAATCTTTGATAATCTTTGATAATCTTTGATAATCTTTGATAATCTTTGATAATCTTTGATAATCTTTGATAATCTTTGATAATCTTTGATAATCTTTGATAATCTTTGATAATCTTTGATAATCTTTGATAATCTTTGATAATCTTTGATAATCTTTGATAATCTTTGATAATCTTTGATAATCTTTGATAATCTTTGATAATCTTTGATAATCTTTGATAATCTTTGATAATCTTTGATAATCTTTGATAATCTTTGATAATCTTTGATAATCTTTGATAATCTTTGATAATCTTTGATAATCTTTGATAATCTTTGATAATCTTTGATAATCTTTGATAATCTTTGATAATCTTTGATAATCTTTGATAATCTTTGATAATCTTTGATAATCTTTGACAATCTTTGACAATCTTTGACGATCTTTGACGATCTTTGACAATATTTGACAATCTTTGATAATCTTTGACAATCTTTGACAATCTTTGACAATCTTTGACAATCTTTGACAATCTTTGACGATCTTTGACGATATTTGACAATCTTTGACACTCTTTGACAATCTTTGACGATCTTTAACGATATTTGACAATCTTTGATAATCTTTGACACTCTTTAACAATCTTTGACGATATTTGACAATGTTTGACACTCTTTGACAATCTTTAACAATCTTTGACAATCTTTGACAATCTTTGACAATCTTTGACAATCTTTGACAATCTTTGACAATCTTTGACAATCTTTCACAATCTTTGAAAATCTATGACAATCTTTGACAATCTATGACAATCTTTGAAAATAATGTAATGTGAGCCATTTCATTATTCAGTCATGCTCTAATACTTCAAGTCCCTCTCTGTATTATTTGGCCTTTGAGGCTCAACCTGTCCGATTATCATACATAATTAAACCCCTAAGACCAAATAATACAGAGAGGGACTTGAAGTATTAGAGCATGACTGAATAATGAAATGGCTCACATTACAATAACCTCTTTCTTTAATGTATAATATTTTTCTAGAGTATAACAGTTCCAATTTTTTTCTTAGTTTCTTTCCCGAGAGTAGGTTATTTAGTCGGACATTAAAAGTTTTTCGATTTTCTGAAAAACTTCGTTTTGAAAACATCAAATATTTATAGAATACATAATAGATACCTCAGGTGGAACCACTCGGTTACACGTTTGATGTTCCCACACATAGACCGACGCGAATTGCAAAACTGGTGAGCCTCCTAATTTTCCTAAAATCAAATATTTACAAAAAATACATTTAAATTAAAATAACAGAAACTTACTTGAATCTGTTTTTCCCCAACCACTTATTGTTAATTTTTGACCGGTGAGATCTCTGTTTTCCAAGTTTCTGTTAAAAGGTAAGCAAATTGGCAGTACATAATCTAAAACAGTAATAGTATGAAGTAAGTAGATGATCAAAGATGCCATGAATCCACTACTTCCAAAAGTCAGCGCTAAATGGCGCCAAAGTGGTTTGCGACTCAGCTAAGCGTTTACGTAAACGAATATAGGTAAGCGTTGAAAAATATTATGCGAAGTGGCAATGTCAAAAGGACCTAAATCTACATCTTCGTTGCTATTAGTCATATTCAAACGGGAAAAATGGCTTTGTGAAGAAGACGTGACACCACTGAAGAAAAATTATGCGTTGTAGCTTTACCAGAAGGGCCTAAGTCTATATCTTCGTTGCTATTGGTCTAATTCAAACGGAAAGAAGAGCGTTGTGAAAGAGACGTGACGCAGTTTAACATTAAAGAGAAAAATCACTCGCATTAGCAAAGCCAAAGGATCTAAGTACACTGCTCCAAGAAATCAACACACCTCTTAATATTTTGTGAAAAATATGGTAAACAAACTGTTTAACACTTTTGGAAATACCCTTGTATATTGTTTCTTTTAACAAGTAAATAAAGTTCTGGTCCGAGCAGATAATGTTTTACTATGCATTTTTATCTGTAGCACTAACAATCGTTGAAAGATAAATCGACTTTAAAATCAGTTAGTGGTTTGATTTGTTCCCATTGGAAGTGATTTTTAACGCATTTCGACATGTTAGGATGCAACGCGAGTCCCGAAATTTACCGACTACTAAATGTGTTCAAGCGATTGTACTGCACGAAGAGGGATGGAGTTATCGCCGAATATGTGAAAGGTTCGGTGTGTCCCATAAAGTTGCGATACCAGTAAATAATATCGGGACCAAAATATCGATACCGGTATCGAAAGGGTATCGGAACCAAAGTATCGATACCGATGTCGGGAAGAGTGTAGAACCAAAAAAAAGGTCATAAAGTACGCCGACATACCATAAAGTAATCCTACAATACAATATACTTTTTTTATATTGTATTGTAATGTCAAAACTAGTAAAATATTGAAACGAAAGTAGTAGTATCGAAACGAAAGGGAGTATCGACATGGATAAAATATCGAAAGCAAAGTATCGAATACTAAATTACTCGGTATCGAAAGAAAAATATCGATACCAGTATCATATCAGTAGTATCGCAACATCCCTACCCATACATTAGTATTACGCATGGTTGAACGATACAGGGTAACTGGTGAGTATGCCAGAAGAGCTGGGCAAGGCAGAAATCGTGTCACGACCACCGGTCAAGATCTTTTTCAAGAATGTCCGCTTTAAGACAGCTATTTGTGACAACAAGAATGTTACAATTCCAGCTTTAAATCGCAGATAACGTTCAAGTAAGTCTGGAAACCGTTCGACAACGACTTCTGGAAGCCAATCTGCGTCCTTACATTGCTAACAGAGGTTCAGCGTTACCCGTGGATCATCGTAGAGCCCGGTTGAACTTTGCCCGGGATCATGTGAACTGGGGAGAAAATGAATCGGAACGAGTTCTGTGGCCAAATGAACGCTACGCACAATGCAATTTCATGAATACCACTTTATTCGATGGAGGCACGGTTATGCTTTGGGAGGAATTTCGTTAAATGCACGCACATACTTGGTGGTATTAAATAATGGAAATTTGAATGCTGAGCGATACATATTGGATATTCTTTAGGAGCATGTTGTGCTATTTGCCCTTACATTGGCCAACATTTTTTATTAATGTAAGATAATGTATGAGCTCAGATAGTGCAAGATTATCTTTTGCAAGTGGGCATTGAAACTATGGCCTGGTCTGCACGAAGTTCAGACCTTAACCCAATAGAACATGTTTGCGATATACTCGGAAGGTAGTTACGTGCTCATCCAAACCGGCCCAACAATTAAGAGGACGTAGGGCGACTTCTCATTGAAATTTGGGACGGACTAGATCAAAACACCATTGGAAATCTTATTTTAAATATGACACGCTGATGCCAGGAGACGATTAGGAGCAGGGGTAAAAATATCCCATACTAGGATTAAAAAGTTTCGTATACATTCTTGATACTTCTTGTTTCTTTCAAAACTATTCATAGTTTTGTATTTTTTTCCTTATCTTTTCCCTATGGCCTAATCTTAGGAATACATTGTTTTGTTATGTGATGTTGAGATTGGGGTGTTAATACACTGCGACCTAAAAGATCTATTGCGCTCCCTTTTGTCGCCAATGCACTAAGGAAATGTCTCAATGCCTATAACGACCCTTCCAATCCTATTTTCTCAAGGAAGTGTAGGATTTGAAGTGGTTTCAAGTTAGGTAAATCTCCCTTTTCTATTTGATATCCTCCTAGATATAGTGCCTTTGGATTCTGGAGTGCTACACATTCAGTCAGGATATGAATGGAGGTTTCGTCTTCCTACTCATAGAATCTGCACTCACTATCCTCTACTACTCTCAGTTTACTTAGGTGTCCTTTTAGTCAGCAATGCCCGGTAAGGATCCATGTTACAATACGTAGCCTGTTCTTGCTCAGGCAGATGCAGGCTTCCGATCTTTTCTGGTTATGTTCAACCAGAAGTATCTTGTTTTTGAGTGAGGGTAGCCATATGTGAGTAGTAGGGATTAAGTGTAAGGGTTAAAGAAAAAGTCCTTTATTTCTCTGACTTGAGAGAAATAAAGGACCTTTTCTTTAATCCTTACACTTAGAAGTATCTTGGCCTGTCTCAGCCCCAAGAGATTGTTTCAATTATCGGTTCTTCTACTGCCCAATTCTTTTTTAATCTTTCCTAATATTATGTTACTGCTGATACCGCAGAACGGCTTAGGTTCTCCAAAGGGTGTTTGAGCCCCTTTCCTTGCAAGACTATCTGCAATATCGTTACCCTGTACCCCGTTATGTCTCGGGACTCAAGTTAGAGTAACTCTATTTTTCTCGCCTATCTCATTCAATTGTTCTGGCATCTCCAGACCATTTTTGAGCTGATTACGTAAGAACTCAGCGCTTTGATGGCTACTTGACTATCGAACATGATGATAATCTCTTGTCCATGATAGTTTCCCTCGATGTTAAACTGGATACCCTTCTCGATGGCGTGAATTTCCGCCTGGAACATGCTGAGAACCAAGCTTTCGGAGTGCTTGGTTCTCGGCCAATACACACTTATTTCAGTTTCTTCTATGGTTTTGGAACCGTCCGTATACCACCAAATAGCACGTCTTTTGGTTGCAAGCGCGATGGATTCTTGGCTCCATTCTTTCTTGCTCTGTGGTTTTGAAGTTTTTCACAAAACTGTACATTGTTAAAAAATGCTTTGTTTAGGAGTAAATTAATTAAAATTATTGAAATATGTTTGATTACTTATTTATAAAATAGAAATTTATTAGTGGCACGTTAATTTCTTGGAGCAGTGTATATATATATATATATATCTACTATTATTGATCCCATTCAAACATAAAAAAGAGGTTGTCAAGAAAACGTGACGCATATTAACAACATTGAAGAGAAAAATCATGCACAATGACAATGCAAAAAGGGCCTACATCTATATCTTCGTTTCTGTTGGTCTGATTCAAACGGAAAAAATGGTACTGTGTAAGAGATGTACAATAGATTAACATTAAAAAGAAAAACCATGCGCAATGATAATGTCAAAAGGACCTACGTCTATATCTTCGTTTCTGTTGGCCCGATTCAAACGGGTAAAACGGTACTGTATAGGAAACGTAACATAGATTAATTTTGAAGAGAAAAATGATGCGGAATGGTAATGCCAAAAGGACCCAAGTCTATATCTTCATTGTTATTGGGCCGATTTAAACGAAAAAAACGGGGGAGGGGAAAAATTACATATAGATTAACGTTGAAGAGAAAAACGTAACACTGTGCCAATATTTCGTAAATTTAGCCGTCATTGCTCAGTACTGAGATGTCCAAAAACTAAGTAGGGACGTGAAATTTTATGAAGACAAAAAAACATGTTTTAAGAGATCTAACAAATTTAAGTCTTTGAAATAAAGCTTTTGAGAGACATCATTTCAATCAGTATCCACCACTTATAAGAGTTCAACCGATGCAAATATATATGTCATTATTGAAAGCTAATTTTAATATGCTCGCATAATTTTTTTTCAGCGTTTATACTCGATCACGTAAACAATGACTGTCATATCACTTTTCTGCATATTTATGTTGTAAGGCATTATCAAGTTTGCAAACGTAAAACTATACAGAAAAGTGTGTTTTAAAAAATATTACATACCTGTAAAAGTAACGGATTTAGTTAGCCGGACCAAAGCAATATCATTTTTTAGACTGTGAGAATCATATTCATCATGTATAAAGAAGCTGTGTACTGGAACGTCTACAGGGTCGTCAGCGCAAATGTATCGTTCGTGTATATAGTGACAATCAGGTTGTGAATTTAAATCGTGTTCTCCAAATCGAACGTGAACCCTAAAATGGGAAAATAGTTATCTATTTTAGAGCTTATTTTTATTAGATCGTTCTATTAGAGTCAGTGTAAGAAATTTAACAAACTTTGTATACAGTATTGGTTGTTAAAAACCTTTCAATAGGATTTGCTATAGTGTCGAAGCGAAAACTACAGAGACTTCATATTTGTTCGAAAAGGAAACGAATAATATCAACGGCGTCAACGGCACGACCGCGTGAGAATTGTAGGGATAACTGACGTTGTGTGCCTACTCGCAATTCACAAGACACATCACACAGCGTAGACCATGGAGGAAGGTCCAGACATACGGCGTGATATACACACAGACGGTCAGCTACAGTCACGATACACATAATATCGTGCTAACTTTCGGTAGTTTTTGCTTCGACGTTAGCAATACTGGCTAGCATTACTGGGATGTTTTCAATGGCCGATACTATATACAGTCTCGAGTATCAAACATTTGCCATTGCTTTATACATGAGCAAATCAGCATAGGTATCCGTTTGGTGATGGATCATTCATTCTGAGACGACCGAGGCATGCCGTGTATGGCTAATCTCCAATGACAAAACACTACTAGATTAATGCATTCACTCATATTAAGTCCATATTTATTGCAAGTATTCATATTGTGAGCTGTCACATTGGCTAGCTCATTAGAAAGCGAAACGCATTCTAAAATGAGTGGGGATGGTTTGTGAGAACTTGTTTATCAGAATGAAAACGAATTCGATATTCTAACAGTGAATCAGTTTGGATTTCGTAAGAAATCAAGCATAGCAGATGCAATCTTAAACTGTTTTGAAGCATTAACAAAGACAAAGCTGCTGTAGCAGCCTTTTGTTACTCAACAAAAGCTTCTGATTGGGTGAGCCATGGACTGCTGCTGCAGCAGTCTTTATCATAATGGTATTAAATATGTTGCTCTGACATGGATAGGATCTTACTTGTCCGGAAGGAAATAATTTGTTAGAACGACTACAGATTTGCGTTTACTGGATGTTAGGGGGACACATTCCAGGGGCCCGGCAGCTTTAGCTGAGGATGTATTTAAAAGTTCGCCACACAAGGGAAGACCTGGTTTACAAAAAATACAACGCGAGGACCTTTTTTTTCAGGATCTGATTTTTCTTAATTACTTTTTTTTTAGAAATGTAACATAGAAAGGACATGAATTTTTATACAATGTCCCTGGTCCCCACCAATCTCTTGGCGGCCCTGGTGTCCCTTGGGCCCTTACTGTTTCTAAATTATGAATACTAGTGAAACGAAACTGTTAACTTCTAAAAATATATCACCAAACTTAAAGTTGGATTCGATAGAAAGTCATGTAAACATAACATTATCAGTTCTAAGAATGGACTCTCATTTGAAGTTTAAATGTCACGTGGTTGGTTTGAATAAAAAGCTTGCTTTGCGTTTAGATCTTCTAGGAGGGAATTGAGATGTGCTGGAGCTAATAATGTTTACTTTGGGTTGATTGAATCTAATTTAAGGTATGCAATACAAAATACAATTTTGTGGAGTATTCAGCAATTAACTGTTTTATAGTACATTTGCTTTGCAAAATGTCAAATAAAATATTCTGCCTCTTGCCCAGATAGCACAAAGTCGTCTTAAAGACGTCTAGCATAAGACATTCGAGACGTCTTTAAGACGTCTGGTATTTCCTGAAAGACGTCTTAGAAGACGTCTGATGTTACAAAAAGCGACGTCTTTAAGACGTCTTATTAACGGCTTATATTGGTCTGTAGAGCTTAAAATAAGCCATAAATAAGACGTCTTTAAGACGACTTATTAATAGCTTATAATGGTCTTGTAAAGCCTTAAATAAGCCATAAATAAGATGACTTTAAGACGTCTTATTAATGGCTTATAATGGTCTTGTGAAGCTTTAAATAAGCCATAAATAAGACGACTTATTATTAGCTTATAATGGTCTTGTAAAGCCATAAATAAGACGTGTTTAAGATGTCTTATGAGCGTAGGACGTCGGATATCTTGGTTAATAAAAAGTAGAACAACCTTGCAGATTATAAATAATGAAAAAAATAGAATTAAAATATTTATTGATAAAACATCTATTAATCACAGGTCACTAAGACTAAGAGTTATTTTCTTTGTAGCGCATTCGATCACTCCTCTTTAGCCATAACTGGATTAATTTTTTCTTTGATTTGTAGTTGCCTTTGTATAGCATCTAGTCACAGAAAATTATACTTTGCAAAAGTTAGTAAAAACCGACAGAACAGTTATCTATAAAACAAAACAAAAAATTAATTTCTTAGAATTTTAAATCAAAGAATTTTTATAATCATTTAATGCAATATGAGCTATTATGCTTAATCGCCTACTTTAACAATTTTACTTTAACTTCACTCAAAATGGCTATCTAATAGGGAGTTTTTGATATTATTAGTTCTCAAACTCTCTATAAAAACAAAAACAAAAATGATACTTAGCCAATATCTGAATTAAATCTTATATTAAGATGTTTACTTTTAAATTAATTTAATTATTCTTAGAAGAAACAGGATATTAATGTTCTATATATATATATATATATATAAACAAATATTCATTTATTACCTGTATTCCAGGAACGTGCTACATCGGTAACACAAACTATTCTTCCCTCTCTGGTTTTTGTTCCATATTATTTAAGTAGAAATAGACACAAATGCTCAAAATAGCCCAAAATCGCTTTTTGTGTGACTATAATCGTGTACGCAATAAAATAATCAATAATCCACAATGAGCTTGGGCCATACAAATTTTTGGCTTGGGCTTGAATGTATTTCTTCTTTTCTTCGTTTTATATGGGCTCAATCTTTTCACTTTTCCACTGCACTTGATATTTGATTTCAATTATCTTCTCCAAATATTACACTGAATATTTTGTTTAATTTTGTATACTTTTTAAATTCGGATGGTCACTTTTATACTAGATATTTTGTGATTTTTATGGGATTTCTTGGCTCCCGATTCGGAGAACGCAATTTCAATATTGTCACGATGGTGTCCGAATCGGAAGTACGGCTTGAATATAATGTTAAATCAAACGTCAAACTTCACTTCATTTGATTCTTCTTGTTAAATTTGAATTATGTAAACCGTGGAAGTTTCTGTCCGACTGAAAGACGTTTGTAAGACGTCTTTGAGCTTTCAGATTAATATATTGATTTGGCAAGACGTCTTAAGAACGTCTTTGAGCTCTCGCAATAATACGTCTGAATTATGGCTTTTGCAAGACGTCTTAATAACGTCCTAGGACATTGAGACCAAACCAAGACACAAAAAAGACGTCTTTCAGACGTCGTGTACTATCTGGGTGTAGGCTACTCTTTAAAACACATCAAATATTAACGTTAACTTTACTTTTTATTTTAGAAACAGCCAGCTTAATTTATAAAAACAAATATTAATAGATCTGCTAGATTTTCTGGAGATTTGCCTTTGCTTATGCCTACTTTGGTCTAAGAATCAGTAATTCGTTACCCTTATCACTTATTAGAAACATGAACACTTTCAGTAATTTCAGAAAACATCTACTTAGTAGACAAATACTATGATATAGTTGAATTTTATCATGACAAACATAGTTTTATATTATTTTTTTTTTAAATTTTGTAAATTTGTAATTTTGTATTTTTTGTAATTTTCGTAATTTTTGTAATTTTGGTAATTTTTGTAATATTTTCGTAATTTTTGTATTTATTTATATTTTGAAATTTTGGGAATTTTTGTAGTTTTTGTAATTTTTGTGAATTTGTAATTTTTGTAATTTTTGAATTTTTAACTTTAACAACCAGTAATATTTTATTCAAACATGTTTCGTTTAATCGTCTTATTTTTAATCAATCTTCAGTTTGTCCTATTCTTATTGAGACACCATGTATATAAATAAATTAAATATAAGATATAAGTAAAACTTACAGTTTATGATTAGGACCAACTTTTAAACAATGAGCTGCAGTTAAGACGAAATTTTCAGTTATTAAAGTTCCGCCACATAGGTATTCGATATATTTTATTTGCGTTTCTAAAATATAATTAATTTTTCAGGATCATTTAAATTAAGTAGTTGTAAATAAATTCTTACGTTGGTAACCTAGTAAAGCCATCCAAGGGAATTCTCCTAATTCAGCCGTTTCTCCACCTAAAAATTAATATTTTTTTGCAACATTTACTTACGACATAATATGGTGTATAATTTTTTTGTTTTTAATAGTGGATGAGGTTAGTGGGAAAAAATATTAATTCCTTATAATTTAACAACCTTTTGACATTTATTCTACGACTTCATCAATGCTAAAAAATACAAATTTCAAATAAATAATGTTAAAAACTATTAGCCCAATCGGATTAGGTGAAGAACAGGCTTGAGATTCTGAAAAATTCGAAGCAGCAATTTTCCTTCGGAATTCGTTGGAGGGGGTCTGTGGTAGTCTAAATTCAAAAAGTTGGGATTCCAAAGTTGTCGTTACCTCCGCCAGCTTGATTTAAAGGGTTATTTTTTGTATCTTGAATAACTCATTTATTTTCAATTTTACACGGAAAATAGTTTTTACAAAAGTTATTTAAAATTAAATTTCCTACAATTCTGCTTTTTTTTGTACGATCGATTTTTTTCGATTTATACCCGAAAAGAGGGGGTGAATTTTTGGTTATAGAATAACTCGTTCATTTTCAATTTTACGAGAAAAATTGTTATAAACAAAGTTGTTTAAAATTAAATTTTCTACAATTCTGCTTTTTTTTGTACGATCGATTTTTTTCGATTTATACCCGAAAAGAGGGGGTGAATTTTTGGTTATAGAATAACTCGTTTATTTTCAATTTTACGAGAGAAATTGTTATAAACAAAGTTGTTTAAAATTAAATTTCCTACAATCCTGCTTTTTTTTGTACGATCGATTTTTTTCGATTTATACCCGAAAAGAGGGGGTGAATTTTTGGTTATAGAATAACTCATTTATTTTCAATTTTACGAGAAAAATTGTTATAAACAAAGTTGTTTAAAATTAAATTTCCTACAATTCTGCTTTTTTTGTACGATCGATTTTTTTCGATTTATACCCGAAAAGAGGGGTTGAATTTTTGGTTATAGAATAACTCGTTTATTTTCAATTTTACGAGAAAAATTGTTATAAACAAAGTTGTTTAAAATTAAATTTCCTACAATTCTGTTTTTTTTTGTACGCTCGATTTTTTTGTATTTATCCCTGAGAAGAGTGGGGGTAAACATTTTTGAAAATCAGCAAAAAAAAACAAACAGAAAAAATAATGGTACAACATCAATAATAAACGTGACAATACAATACTTAGGTTCACCCCCACTCTTCTCAGGGATAAATACAAAAAAATCGATCGTACAAAAAAAAAGCAGAATTGTAGGAAATTTAATTTTAAATAACTTTTGTAAAAACTATTTTCCGTGTAAAATTGAAAATAAATGAGTTATTCAAGATACAAAAAATAACCCTTTAAATCAAGATGGCGGAGGTAACGACAACTTTGGAATCCCAACTTTTTGAATTTAGACTACCAGAGACCCCCTCCAACGAATTCCGAAGGAAAATTGCTGCTTCGAATTTTTCAGAATCTAAAATACTAATCCGATATGTGGTTTACATTATACAAGGGTTGTTCTATTTCTGTTGGATCTAGAAAAGTTTATTTATAAAAAAAAACATTTATTTATATTTTTGTTAAATATTCTTCTCCACAGTCAATAAATTTTCAAAATCATTTGTATTGAAAATGTTCTCTTTATGTTTTACAAACGAAGGTATTTTTGGGTTAATTTAAACATCGAATCAGTAATAAAACGTTTAATATATCTGTAAAATAGATTTAAAACAAAGATTAAAATAATAACTTATATAAATAAAAATTAAGTATGCAATAACAAGTACTGGTTTATATACATCAATCAGTTTATGTTCCACATTGTACAATCCAACTATAACAACCCAAAAAATGAATTTTATCACGATCCGATTTTTCATTTTAGAAGATTTGAGATGTGTGCATTTTTATAACAAAGGCTGAGTTTTATAAACCATTTAAAGTCCAAAATTTTTAAACCAAGAACCCAAAAGAATTTGTGGAACAAAACTCTTTTTGGCGTTATTTGGAAAACTTTTAAGAAATTTTCGGACACGCCAATTTTTATTTATATTTGATGCGTTTGAATATCCACATCGAATGTATCTGAGATGTTATTACATGATAGAGGATTAGATTTAAATGTAGATGTAATAAACAAACGCTCTAGACTTTATATTGGGCACGTGATCAAATGAAAATGACAAGTTAGAAGTTTATACTTTTTAAATTTGACTTTTGAGACTAGAAATCAATCAAAATTTGAAAAACAAACAAAAATTAAACAAATTAATCACTTTTATATTCACGCTAGCGCATAAAAAAAGGAAAAATCGATAAACTTGTAACTGAACCAACTGAATTGAATCTGCATCTGACTTAACAGAACACCTACTTTCTGGCATGGAACGAACATCTCATTTCAAATCGAGATGTAAAAAATGTAATAAATAAACAAACGCAGACTCAGATTTAGTAGATGTGACCGATGTGGATAAACAAACGCTCGAGATGTAAAAAATGCATCGGATGTGAATATTCAAATGCAGTAATAGAATCACATTTTTGTTATACAGGTGTCATAACAGATTTCAACATGGAATATTTTAAAATCAGTCCAGTGAAGAATCCAGATGCACGAATGTCACAAAAAAAGTCAAAAATTATTAATTAACTAGTTACTACTATAGTAGATTAAAGAAAAAACATTTGCGGAAAAACCGCTATTCTTCGAGAAAATTATAATTAAAAATTTTCCAGTGGTTCCGGTTAAGAATCCAGATGCAAGAATTTCGAAATTTTATAACTATATTATTGAAGTAAATTACTTTTTATAATATTGCAACAAAAATTAGAAATAGAAAAGTATCTTTTATTTGCAATTTTAACACGTTAAGCGCCACAGTAGAATCTGAAAATCCGGTCCAGTGGATCAAACCACTAACATTGCCAAATAGAACTGTCGGCAGTGAGACAGCGTGTGTAAGGCTCAAAGTGTCAAAAATTCGAATAATAATAATAATAATAATAATAATAATAATAATAATAATAATAATAATAATAATAATAATAATTAATAATAATAATAATAATAATAATAATAATAATAATAATAATAATAATAATAATAATAATAATAATACATTTATTGAGGCTAATGGCCGTAGTAGTCGACGCCGATGACACCAAATAAAAAAAAAAATCATTTATTGTCCAACATTAACGTTTACAAAGAGAGAACAATTATATGCATTTGTGAAATATTTTCACAACCAGTTCAGTTGTGAATCGCTTCACTCCTGATCTTCCACCAGTGCCAGAATCACGAAACTAATGTATATTAAGATGACGGACAGAATAGGAGGAGAGACTATTCGATGTTTATGGAGTTAAGGCAAAGAATAAGAAACGAGGTACACGAACATGAAAAAAAGAAGAAAAAAAAAAGAAAGGAAGGAGAAAAGGATAGTTTGGAAGCGAGAATTTACTATTGTTGGTATAACATAATTATCTTGTATTTTTTTTAAGTTTTTGCTTTAAGTCGTAATAAAAACTGATTAGTTCTATATAAAACTATTTTTGTCCATATATTAGTTTCAAACTTGCATAAGATGCAGAACTTCTAAAAGACAAAAGAAGCAACTCGCACAGATTAGAGAAATTAGTTTTTTTTATTTTATGTATAATTTTTCTGTGAAATAACCCGCGATGGCTCCAGGCCTCAAAGGTTAGGTAAATTAGTGTTTTTATTAGAAAAAATATTAGAAAAATATTTCGATTTTCTTTAATTTATTTTAATTTTTTTACTTTCCTATCTGTATACAGATATAAGGAAAGTATAGGAATCATGATTTTTTTCGACCTCGAGTTTTCGACGGATTTTTACGTTTTGAGGTCCCCTGAATCCGTTTTGACTATTTTCGCGATGATGTCTGTGTGTGTGTCTGTATAACGCATAACTCATGAACCGATACATAGAAAAACACCAAATTTTAAACTTAAGCTTTTTTTTTAACGTCCAATGAGCTGATTAGATTTTAAGTTTTATTTCGATTTGAGGTGAACTGATTAGATTTTGGACAGAGTCGGAACATTTGGGGGGGTACTTTATTGGTGGTCATTTTTATATTTTATGGAATATATTCGTTATTTACGTTTGGGGAAGAAAATTCTTTAAATAAAAGTTACTTACAATATTATTATCTATAATTTTTGTTCTATGTCAAATTTTCCTGAAATGGTCTGTATTCGAGAAATTTGACAAAATGTGCAAAATTCTGATTTTTAAGAAAATTGTTAATCTAAAAGTTGTTTGCGATATCGATCTCTATAATTTTTGTTTTTAAATGACTTTTCTAAAATGGACCGTAATGGAAAAATTGGAGGAAAAGTGCTAAATTAAAATTTTTCAGTATTTTCGTTTTCAATGAATATCTATAGAAAAATGTTTCGAGGTAGATGTATGTGGAAAATGTATATATTTAGTTTATCCTCTAAACATTTTTAGAGATGCTGCAATAGGTTAACTAGATAGGAAAGTCATGTGTTGGACACATCGGATTTTTTTTTATGCTAGCGTGAATATAAAAGTGATTAGTTTGTCTAATTTTTGTTTAATTTTCAAATTTAGGTTGATTTCTAGTCTCAAAAGTCAAATTTAAAAAGTATAAACTTTTAACTTGTCATTCTCATATTTGATCACGTAACCAATATAAAGTCTGGAGCGTTTAATTATTATATCTACATTTAAATCTAATCCTTGAATAGGATTCAATATGGCAACGTTGCAAACTAATTGACCGCTTATGTCAAAAAAGACAATTGCATGAGTTTACGTTTTGTTGCAGAAAATTAAGTTAAATTGTAAAAATAATGACATTTTAATAATATATAAATTAACACGTTAAGCGCCATGAGTTTATATTGCGCGTGTCGCAACTCATTTGACACTTTGGAGCTTGCGACACACACGCTGTCTCACTGCCGTCAGTTCTATTTGGCAATATTAATAGTTTGGTCCAGTGGACAGAACTTTCAGATTTTACTGTG